TCGACTAATGCTTCACTAGAACGAATTTCGAAATTAATGAATTCTCATTGCGCTTTGCCTGCGCCTTTTATAGTAAGTTGTGGCACCAAGAAAGCAGAGACGATGCGACGGAAGGGTTACGAGAAAATTGACGTAGGCAAAAATTTGTTTTCCCGCGACAGATTAGCTAAAATTTTCCAATAGTCACGTTATTCAAGCGCTTCGGTATGCTTTCTATTATTAATTCAATCATAAACGTACTAGATGAATGCGTAGGTGGAAATTACAGAAAAAATAACACTATTGTTGAAGTTTATTGAAGTTCGTTATAAGACACACACGGAAAAAACCGTGTTGTTATTTTTATTAAAGATAATGACTGAATATGAGATAATCTTCGAATTATGCCGTATTATATTGATCTCCAGCGATATCAGAAATTAATTTTATGTAACAATATGGAATAAGTGTTGGAATTTAAATGTAACTGTAAAAAAATGACAATAACATAATAACGCTTATTTTCACAGATAAAGAGAATAAACGAAAAAGTTTTATCGTAGTTCAATGCACTTCAATAAAACAAAGCATCTCACTTTATGAGACTTAATATTTTACTTAAAACAAATGAGAGCAATAATTGAATAATTTAACAATAAATTGATGAACAATGTGAACTATATAAGACATGTTACAACAATGAAGTTAAAAACCTTATCATTGAGACCTTAGAAATGAATTCTGAAGCAGAAATTGAAAACGGAGAGGATATAATTATGTGTCAACTGACCACACTGCGCGTAATTAAATTCATCGCTAATCTTTTTATTGTGAATTTTCTCATTATTGTGTTATTAGTCTTTGTTATTAATTTTTCAAACAAAGAATAGCAAAATTATGAAATAAAGAAGCGATAATAGAAGCTCAAACATAACGTCATTATTTTAATTCACAATTCAGTCAATATACATACAACTGAAAAATGAAAATTGCGGTCTCTCTCGTTATATATTTCATAAAAAGGGTGTGGCCATGTCTTTCAAAACTGATGGAGTGCTCTTTATGTACAAACATTAATAAATACATACGAAGATTTCATAGTGTCGGAACGGAAAAAGTATCTATGATGATTCATAATTGTTCTTCATTTCGTCATCTCATCTATATGAATACACACATTTGGAAAAGAAATGAGAAAGAAAACTGAAAACATAAAAATATTGTTTTGCTGAAAAAGGTCAAACAGAACAGTAATGGAAAAAAGCTTGTCGATTTTAACCTCTTGCAGAATATAACAAATTTTCCTATTTTTTCACTAACTCTAACAGAAGTGCATTCTAACGAGAACGGCAAAATTAGATTCGAGTTGACTGAAAAAAATGAGCGAAATTTACGAAAAATGAAAGGAAATTGAAAAAGAGATGAGTGAGAGATATTTTTCAGAATTTTGCCATGACGAGTTTTTGGCCACCAAATGTGTAAAACAAAAAAAAAAACATATGAACACAAGAGACGGTTATTATTAAACGTGTAAGCGAAAAGGAAACTAAGCGAAATTTCATAGACTTTAAAATAAAAAATTCATTAATGAAGTAAAGACGATATTTTTACTAAAAATAGGAATGAGTTCCTCAATGAATGTATGTTTTTAGAAAGATGAGCTCACACCCACTCAAAATAAAACAAAATTATTCGTCAGAAGTGTGCATATGTTTTCAGGAAAACAAACTTCATCCACGATTCTTTGAAATACATAATAGAAGTGAAAGCCGAGAAAAGGAAAAAGGGAAGAAAGCAATCGCACTTTGAAAATAAGAAGAAAACTGCTTTTTGTGAAGTATTTGCTTAGATTTATAGATGTGTGTAAGCTAATCGGTTCATAGAAAATCCATTCATTCACATTCGACAAGTTTCGCCATTAATTCCCCTTTTGGGTAAATCTGTGTTCGAAGCAATTGAATCTGAATGAAAAAGCCGCGTATTTATATGAGCCGCGTGTGAAAAGTAGCCACCATGAACATCGGACAAAACGAAAGGATTCGATTGCTTTTTCACTTTTTTTCATGGAAATAAAAATTGGAGCTGCTTCAACACCATATTAAGTTTCTTCGTGCTTCATGAAATATGCTCATTACAAAAAATTTATATAGCTTAAACTATATAAATGGGAGTTGATGTTTATACCTATCTATTTTTCAACAAATCTGACAAAACTTTTTTATATTTTATTTTTGAACGACAAACACTAACTGTATAAGCAAATTAGAAAACATATTAATTTTTTAAAATAAAAACTACTTTTCCTTATCGAAAAATAGGTATTTTTAAGACGAAATAATCTAAGGCTTCTCCAAAATTAGCAGGCATTTATTTTTAAACGTCAATTCCAATCAGAGTCGATTAGAAAAAATCAAGATTACAGCGAAACTTAACTTCTAGTTAAGTTTTTCTATAAAAAAGGCAAACATACGAATCTAAAATGAGAGAAAAATAACTCAATGTAAATTGGAATCTTTTTTCCTAACTGCACGCAGATCTTCTCTGCATACAACAACGCCTTTGGGCTTTGAAGTCAACGAATGTTTTTTTCCTTCACATGATGCTCGAATTTCAAAATCAGTCCTGGAAAACAAATTCAAGTTTGAATTGCGCAGGAAAAAAAAAAACAATAATAAAGATTTTTTAAGTTTAAAAATTTATGCACAATAGAAATGAAAGTTTCTTTTTATAGTTATGATATAAATGTTTTTTCAAAGCAATTTTTTGAATAACAAAATCTGCATAGTGGGTTTGTGTTTTTTTAGAGCATTGCTGTGAAGATACTAAATAAGGAAATGTAATTTTGCATTTAAAATATTCTGAAACCAATGTTATTTTTTGTCATTTACGAAGTGAAGTTCCTAGCGAAATCCCATAAATCGTTATATATTACGTCTATAATTTATTGTTTAAAGGCGAATGAGCATAATAACAGCCTTAATACGTGAAATGATCAAAGGTCGCAAATTTCAGGCTAACTACATATGCCTATTTACATATTAAATCCTTGCTCAAATAATTTATGGATTCCCCCAAAACTGTGATTTTAATTCTGATCTAAAAATGACTTTAGGAATGTTGAATGAAAATAGAAAATTTAGAATTACAAGAGGCGGTTGTTTTCATTCAGAAAAACGTTAAAACACTGACCTTCAGAAAATATTCATCAACATTCATGTACTGCACGTCAAGTTCAATTCTTCGATAATTGCGCAACCACTATTGCGTGTTATATAAACATGTAGGAGATTATTTTAAATTAACTACAGTATGCCGAAAAAATCGGATGAAACTCAACAAAAATCGATGAGTACCATCTATTTAGGACGAAATTAGAAAGTGATCCGTGGTGAATTTCATTATACTAAAGTTTGAAGTGCTTTAAATTCTCGAAGTTTCGAAATGTCACTAGGCATAGTCATATTCGCCACTAACAATGCATTAATTTTTTCTAGAAGGCGCCGAATGGTTGCAATATGAAGTATTAGTCAATTAACACAATATGAAAGTATTTTTGGGGCTTATTGCTTGAATTAATAAATATTTTCATTGAGTTCAATATTTCAAATACCCTTCGATGATCAAATCTGCATTATAAATTCATGTCTAATTTTAAACAATCCAAAAAAGGATAACAAAAGACGTGTTGTTTTTTAAATTTGTGACAAAACTTGCATACTAGTTTTATTAGTTGTGTTTTCTTTTCTATGTAAACGTGACAGTGTAATCAGAAATCATTTTCAAAGTTTTTTATTTTCATTTCATGATTTCCTTTTTACGCCATGTATTGTTTTCTGAAATATATTTTAATGGTATTTGTTTACTTTAGTTTTTCTCAAAGAAAGACGATACGCTATTTAAGTGCTGCTTTCTGATTCCTTCAAAATATCGCCTAATATTTATGAAAAAGATTGCACAGAAAAAAATTTCTTACGAATTCAGTTTTGAATAACAATAACTCTTTTACATTTTGAGAACATGTATTGTGATAACTTATAATACTATCACGCGATAGTTCTTATTAATCGATGAGGAAGATATCTTAAAGACAATTTGGAGAGCTGAGATAATGAAATCAAAATGTTTAAAAAATGAAAAAATAAATGAGTTGTTAAATGGATTAATTTTCGTTCGATGATCATAACGAGATTAATGAGCTTAACTCAATCTTTTTTGAATTGATAGGTTAAATATCTGTTGCAGAAAATATAAATATGAAATTTACACACTGTGGATTTAAAAAAATGCATAAAAATTTTATGTATTTTATTTCAGGAATTTAATTATTAAAAGTATTGAGGACAGGAAAAAATTAAAACTTTTTAATTATAAATACCTATATAAATTCTAGTTTTGATCGTATTCCTCAATGATATTACCAATGTTTTTATTTTGTTTTATCACTTTCCCTCAAATGAGTAAATTTCTTTGTTTTCAAGTAAAATTTTGCCACATTCTTTTTTTCATTTTGATAAAATTTGTTTTGTGCGGCCTCCTGCAACAGCATTCCGCTATTTTCGTGAGTCAAATTTCTATTTACTTAATGCGACGTCAAAAAAAAACATCATAGTATATCCAAGTAGATATATACATATATAGATGTAGAGGCTTTTCAAAAAATTGAGTTACTCTAATACCTCTTTTTTCGTGTTGCTACTATTTCGTTACGAAAATCGCATTTCAAAATGTTTACAAATTTATAAAAAAAAGGTTAAACCAAAAATACAGAACGCATCGTTTTTTATTTGTTTCATTTTTCTGGAGCCGTTTTCTTCTTCGCGTTGTGATAATACTTCCATGGCATAGCTTTTTTCGAGTTGCGAGACCGCTAGTGCAAGACCGCTTGGAGGGCGCGCGAAAGGGGGCGTGGCCAGCGAGGAGGAGGAGGAAAGGAGGGGGGGGGGTCCCCTCGGAACATCTTTGACGGTGCGCGTGTGTGTGCATGATAGTTCAGTTCTTCTGGCCAGCGACAATCTAGTAATATGACTGCCCTCGAATTATTTTTTCTACTATTTGCTGGAGTCTCTATAGTATCGGGTAAGTGTTCATATATCTTGCCTTTGTACCAACTTGAATTCAACGAGCTTCCGAGCAGTCCTTTCCAACTTGACAGCTATCGAGACAAATCTGTTTTGTTCGGAAGAGCGTTTCAATCCCAAGGGAACCACTCTGTTTTTCGAATCCTATACCAATTCCGCCTTAATTGTTAATGAGCAATGTAATTTATCTTTCTTATATATCCAAAACATCTTTTCACCCCAGAGGACATATCAATCATATTTAGCCAAGTAGTGCGTGTATATATCGCTGGGGGCATACGTGTTTTTCATCGGTGGTTCAACATCATTTCACGTTACATAAACACACACAATCCGCGAGACTCGTTGATTTTTCTAGCTGAGTTCACTTGAAATTGCAAAATTCTTCACGATTTGATCTGTCGCAACAAAAGCCCGCGAGAATCGTCGGAAGAAAAAAGTTCTCATATGAAAATGAACATAAGACAGACACAAACAAACGAGTGGCTTACTTTCGGTTAGGTAGTAAGAAAAAGTCGGTGTGGTGAGCATGAGCAAATATTGCTAACTCATCTTGACCTCGCTAAAGCCGAACGCGTTTTCTTTTGATTTTTCTTTTTCGCAAAGCAAAGAAAAAAATGGGTCTTTTAAAAAGTCGCTGTCACATAATGAATTATTATTGAATTCAAGAACTGAAATTCTTTCTTTCAAAAGCAAAACGAGAATTTTCAATAAGGTTTTTTGGAGACTGGAAGAAAGAAAAAAGTTCATTGTGGCATGATTTCGTGCGATAGAAAACGAAGAAAGCAAAAAAGAAAAATCTTTTGTTACTAATTGAATAAAGCGTTCAAACATCTTCGATCGTTATACGACCATTCTGTTTTCACGCAAAATTTGTTAAAATTTGGTTCCTTTTATTCTCATCAAATTTATTCATCCTAGGTTTGACGAGACGTCGGGCTATGTTTGGGTAATTGTGATCAACGCGATTTCGGCCTCCCACACAGATTTATTTACCATAGCTAATAAGCGCATTCTTATCCGTAGCAAGCAAGTTTGTTTAAGCGTTGCCGCCTCGCCACCGTCAAAACCCACCAAATTACAATATGTTCAAACATACAGTCGGTGGTCGCGAGATGGAATCAATCAAATTGTCTCTAAAAATAATATAAAGAAGAGTCGTTCCGGTAGCTGTAAGCCGCTATCCAAATAAATGTTTTGTGATACAAAATGTGCCAACGACACTGTATGAGCTTCTGCTCAACAATCGCTCATTGCACTTGTGAGCCTTTTGTCAAACATTATTTGGTATTTGGTAAATTTGACCAGCACACATTTATATACAATATATAATCAATTTGGCACAGATGATTCACCAGGCAAGACAAAAATATTAGAAAATTGAATGAAAAGAGAGACACAACTCGTTTTATTTATGCGTTTCTTTCAGGATGGAATATAAGTTTGAGTCCAAGCGAAGAGCGCCTTCAAAATCGACGGGCGGGCGACAATTTCCTGGTGATTTGCAAGGTTAAAGATTTCGAAGGAGCCGCGAGCGATGTCAAAATTGAATGGTTCAAAGAGGGAAAACAAATTCCCAAGTTTGGAAGGTGATTTTCAATATTTCCTTGTTTTCCTCGTCGGAGCCTTGGCGAAACCAAATTCCCCAAATAATGGACTACTTCCTGTCGTGATCCATTCAAAATTGAATGACAAGCACGTATAGATTTCTATTTTGGCAAGAAAAGTTTAAAATATAAGATGAAAGCGCTAGCCGACACAAAGGTTTCATGACGCATAACGAAATTGGTAGCCACAACAAAAGATTTTGAATTTTCAGCACGATGACCATCGAACGAACATATTCCAACCAACTAATGATCAATCGTCCTAAAACAAACGATGGCGGAAAGTACACATGCAAAGCTGAAATTTATGGAGAGACTCAAGAAATATCCGCAGAGATAAGCTTTGTTGGTACGTTTAAATGGAATCATATGCTTTCTCAAATAACCCTAAGCAATGCACCAAACGTGTCTTCGATTTTTTGGTTCTCTTCCAAGAAAAAGACTTCAAAGAGCATTTCAATGAGCATGTTTGTTTACGAAATACTCAATTATCTTATCTCCAGTGTTATCTTCGTTTATCTAATAATGTGAAGAACACTTCGGCCGGTATCTCCGAAAAGGAAAAGAGTTCGCAAATAGAGTTAAAACGTACATGTACATTAATAAAGATAACAATGAGAGATTTAGCAATGTTTAACCTTAATTAACTAATGGAGATTTCTTCGGAAAAAAAAAACATCAAGACATTTTCAGATCCTCCAAAGTTCGTCAATCCTCAAACCGAACAACATCCAGTAGAGGGTAGTCGCGCTTCAATTATCTGCCAAGTCGAGGGAACTGATCAACTTGAAGTCTTCTGGCAATTCAACGGTGTTACTCTTGATGATGGTGAGTGCATTAGATTAGCACTTCTAATCGTGTTGTCGCGAGATACCTCAGTCTCGTTTATCTATGACCTTTTGCGCTGCGTTGCGCAATTTTTGAGCTGTGTGCTGCAATACGTTGACAAACATTGACGGGTCTGTTCGCTCGATTTGGTTTGACACCTAGGCCACCAATAAAACCCATTAGTGTTATCGTGATAGGAAGCGTTGAAACAGAAAGGGCAATTCGACTTTTCCCAAAACGACAGAATCCCAACATTCGTCTTCCGCTCAACTAATCGCTTGAAAAAGTATTGGTGTGACCGCGAGACGTTTTCGATTATCCAGCACATTTCTCACTTTGAAAAGCCCCCCTCCTTTTCCTGAATTAGTGGGTTGGTGAAAGCGTGGCAGTAAAGGCAAATTTCATTCAAATTTAAGTAAATTGTGCAATCGTCAATAAACGCTCGTATGCTGTAGATTTTGGCCACATTGGGTCAAGCACGTCTCGACGAAATTTGTCGCCTAATCATTCTTTCTGTGTTTCTGGATCAGTAGCGTCTCGAGCGCGGATTACAGACGCGTGCATCATTTATATCCCGCCGCATTGGCCTCACACCATCTGGAGAATTGTTGCGCTTCTCTTTTTGATTCGCGTGATCAATTGAGGTCACCGATTACTTAATCTTATTTATTAAAGAATACCGAGATGGATTAAGCAAACGGGGTGTGGAGGAGGGAACGGGCGGGGGTGATGGAAAGAACGATGATGCTTGTAATGAATGGGTGTGAGGAATGACATCCATTTTGGATTTGAAATAAACGCAAACAAGGGAAAACCGAATGTTTAACCAAACTTTATAAGTGACGACTATCATAAATTATTAGCTATTATTACAGCATCGCAACGTGGTTACGAGTTCTCTGAAGATAAGCAAACATTGTTTATCCCACACTTCAACGCTAAGAAGGATGACGGAATTTACAACTGCAATGCCGCACAATACTCCTCATTTGAAACTTTGTCGATCAACGTCACTGGCTATGGTAAGTGTCAAACAAATGTCTACAAATTGTAGACATGGAGGGCCCGCAATCGTTTTCTCCTCCTTCACATCAAGATGTCCTTCTGTTTTTTTATGCGCGCAATCGTTGAAGCGGATTTCGCCAACTGTTGAATAGATAAATTGCCACCTAGTTTCTAATTAGAGGCTATTGTGCAAATCTTGGCACACGAAGCGTTAAGTGCTATTCGTCGTGGTGGGTCCCCGTTTTAACAAGATTAATCGTGGGATGTATGAATTTTTCATGAATATCCATGTGTTTATTTGTTTGGTCTGCTTATACATTACTAAAATGTATCAAGTACTCGCGGGAGGGAAACGGGGGGCAGCCGTTCATCGGCACGCATCAAAGGGGGATTCGAATGAGAGGATAAAACCCATTGAGATAAGTGGACGGTATCACCTAATAATTATTGCAGCTCAACCAACAATTACCGTATTCGACGTACCAAATGGCAGCGCATTCGAAGGGCACACCATTGAGCTCAAGTGTGGAGCTGTTGGAAAACCGAAACCATCCTACAAGTGGTACTTTGAGGTACGTGCCGCCAACGGTTGTTGAATCTATTAATTAGCCTAACGACCAAGGAAATTTGAAACTTCTGACATTTACGTCTATTTGACACCTTCCTTCCCACTTGATTTTAGCATGACAGCTGTATTATGCGTAATATGCATATTTGATTTTTATAATTAAGGGAACAACTCAAAGTCTGCAATTAGGTAGAACAGTGTTGTTTCTGAAAAGTTTCTAAATTTTATTGATCAGTTATTTTACAAAAATATTTTCTTTCGTCATTCTTTGTCTTTTGCATCGATATTTTGCTTCGTGGAGAACTTTCTTGGATGACTTGTGAGTAAAAAACAAACAAAGCGACAGTCGGCACCCGTTTGTCTTTGTTTCGTTTTGCCTTGACTTTCCTGCAGTGCAACATTTACCGCCTACTGAAAAGAACAGTACGGACCAATGAAACATGAGCATGCTCCAATACAACAGCTCGACCAAATGAAGGCCGCCACTAATTAGGCGCAACGCTACTATTACGGAAAAACCTCTCGGTTGACTGCAACTTTTCGAGGACACTCAATATGCTAGAGTCAATTATGAGAACAGTCTCTTGGGACCTTTTTATTTAGTCGTCCGACAAATTCGTGCAAAAAAGAAATTGCTAAGTAATTCAATTGAAGCGCAAAAGAAACTCGGATAATTTTTGAGTCAATGCATAAATAACATATTACCATTCTTGTTTATAGGGAAACGTGGGTGTCAAATTTTGAGTTGCCCGATTTCCCACAGTTATTTCAAACTGTGCGTTTGAATATAATAAAAGGTCATTGATAACCCTCATAAAACCGCCATTGCGTGTGTGAAAATGCGGCATTATGATTAACACAGTAGGTGGTCATCATTTGCCACCTTTGCCATCTAGTTGCCAAATTTTATGTACGTTTTACGATGTTTAGAGACCGAGGTCCATCTGTCAGTCAATAATCGGATACAAACAATAGGAGGGACCGGGTTAGATTCTCACCTGGCAAAAAAAAGGGGGGGGGGGTTCAGGGTGTCGAGCTAACAATGGATGATGGTCCGCTCTAAAATATAGTATTCATTCGAGCAAGTCACCCTGAAAATTACACCGACACCTGCTACATGCGATAACTCTAATGATTTAAATTAGGGAAATATTTTTCAGGACGACTTAAATCCAATTGATCATTCCGACAAGCACAATGTTGAAGATGGACTTCTCATTATTGAATTCCTTAATGAAGATGACGCCGGTACTTACAAATGCGTAGCAAACAATACTGTGGGAAGCGATGAAAGAACCGTTCAGCTTGCTGTATTCTGTAAGTACATTGATAAGTCAATGTTTGCCGAATGCTACTACTTAGTGATGGTATTGAGAGGCACAATAAGAGCGGCTTAGTCACCGCAAAACACGAAGTATAGTACAACGCAAATATGAATATATTTCAGTGAAACCGAAAGTCGAAATCGCAACGGAGATTGTCAAGAAAGAAGGTGAAGATGTGGAGATTATCTGTAATTATCGTGGCGAAGGGCAACTCGCTGCCAAATTCGTATACGGTTCTCAAGAGTTTACGGTAAGTATTCATCTAATCCACAGGCTTAATTATAATTATTATTGTCGTTTTCTAGGTGAGGGATGAGAAACCCATCGAGACTATCGAAGAAACCACTATTGCCGAAATTTCTGATGAAACCTCCATTGAAGATGTTGAACCTCATGAAGAAACCGCCGTGCTCCCAACCGACGAAAATGACGAAATTGAGGAATCACGCAAGTGGAAGAGAGTGCGTTACCACGAATGAATTAAATATTTAAATTAGAGGGGTATCATTAGAGAGATTTGTGAAACGAATCCAGCTGTTACCTGTCTGAATATGCATAGTAGTCGGGACGAGGGTTGTTTCCTGAGAATTTCGAGAATATATTGCAACAAGTAATAACAATAATTATGTAAAATTTATATTTCAGTTTGTCGACGATGTTAACAATGAGCGAATTGCTGTTCGAGCGGAAGACAATAAGCTCATTTTGACGGTCAGACAATTGTCCTTAGATGATGCTGGAAATTACAAATGCGTTGTTTCTAATGAAGCAGGAGCCACCGAAAGAATTTCTGACGTTAAAATTATCCGTACGAAATGTGTATATTTATCTAATTAGAGCGATTAATTTTAAGATCCTCCAACTCTTCGCCACTATTCTGGGCCAAGTGTACGATCATTTGACGGAGACACGCTTTCAATTTTCTGTGATGTTTCTGCTGTTCCTGCTCCAAAATGGAAATGGTTCAAGGATGGGGCTGAAATTGAAGCCAACGGAGCTACCATTAAAATTGATTCGGAAGGCACTTTGTCAAAGTTGACCTTGGTTCATAACGAGGGATCTGATAACTATGGAAGATACAAATGCAGCGCTGACAATTCCGTTGGAATTTTTGAGAAAGAAATTGAAGTCGTTCACGTTGGTATGTTTCGTAATATTCTTATTTAAAGATATCACCCATTTTCAGTTCGACCGGCTGTGCCAACTGGAATGGACTGCAAAAAGTTTATGTATCCGAACTACGGAAAATGTTTCTTTGACGAAGAAGCTTATTCTGAGGAGAGCGGAAAACCATTGAAGATCGAATTTTTAATTGCGAAACTTGAAGAGACGGAATCAGATTTCAATTGGAATGATGCCCTCTCAGTGATCGTTGACTTTGGTTGCATTTTACAATCAAGAATGTTTAAATAATTACTTATTTTGTAGATAATGACACAATTATTCCGGATCTTACCCCCAGTACTCTTTATATGGTCCGAGCTCGAGCTTCTAATGAAGCAGGAAGCAGTGAATATAGTGAAGAGACCAGCTTGGAAACTACTGATCCATGGGCCCCACAAGCTCCGAAATCGGTTAAAATGGAATGTTCAAAGAATTGCATCATCTCATGGACACCTGGAAATGATCACGGAAGCCCTATCTTGAAATATCGCATCACTATTCAACAGCTTAATCCTGCACCACAAAACCACATTAGTGGAAAAGAAACAGAAAGCTTCTCCAGCACAACGAAATCTGGAGAAATCGAGCTAACAACTGAAGAGGAGCAAGCATCTGAAGAAACTAGCTCAGTTGAAATAGAAACCGAAGAACCTGTGCAGAGTCATCATGAAAATAACGATATGACTCCGATTACAACCAAAGACGAGGATGAAGTTGCTGAGCTCGGAGGTCCATTAATTATTGAAGTCGGGGCCGATGAGACAGAACTTCAACTCACACATATCAAGCCTCACTCGTATTATCGTGTTGCGGTTGCTGCCATAAATGAAATTGGACAAGGAGAATTTTTGCAAATTGAGCATAGAACTGATGGTATGGAAATACCTTCAGAGGAAAGAATTGAATAGCAAAATTACAGAGAGCCCAACGAATTTTGAGCAAGACATTGCCAGGTCAACTCTGCTCATTGCCGGTGGAATCGGATTTTTATTCTTGTTCCTTGTCGTCGATTTCATTTGTTTCTTGACTAACCGATGTGGTGTTATTGCCTGCATTTGCCTTAATTATTGTGACAAGAGTGCTCCAAGACGTGATGTTGAGGCTGGAAAGTGAGTTTCAGATAGCGAGTCGAAAAAAATAAATCTTTTTCAATTTACAGGGGACCAGAAACCAATCGCCTTTTGGATAATAGTGGTACAAGGTAAACATCGACTCTCAGCTTTGTTGATTGTTTCGTGAAAAATGATTGTCTTGTGCAACGCCGTTTATTTTTGGTGAGTGGTGATTTGTCAAAAATTTTTTTTAATTTAAAACAAACATTGTCTTTCATATATTTTACCAAGATTATTTTCAGCTGGAAATACCCATTGACGACAACTGTTTAACCTATATGAATTTATTTTTCATCTTTTCTAGGCACTACGAATTTGTGTATTAATTTGTAATTCATTAACCAAAGCCCATACATATTTATATGCCAGTTTTCTAATATTGTCATCACTCAACTTATCGATATTGCCATCCGATAAGAAATGAATACCGTGAATTTGTTTATGTTTATTGCACTATCCAAAATCTCAATCTTTCTCTGGTCCAGCAAACGCTTTTATCTTAATAACTTTTTTTTCCTATTTTGAATTGTTTTGGCTCTTTTTCGAAGAGCTCGGGTCTTGTTTAATAACCCTTGCATCACTTAAATAAAATTTGTTGAAAAAAGGTACAATTGATAAGAAGATATGGAAAAGAAATAAACTAAATAAAGCTATTAAGTGAAAAAAAAATGTAACCGGAAAATATTGGCCGACAATTTGAATTATTATTATTATTATTAATACTATTGTTACAGTTGATATTTAGGGTCAAGAGAGAGAAGAATGAGCTATACAATAATTTTACAAAGATAACACAAGGCACATGATTCGGAATGATTCACATAATACATAGAAACTGAACATTTTCTGGAACCGAAAAATACTTTGCAAAAGAGCAAATAACAATCAGTGGAAAAATTGTAAATATGATATCTAGCAGTTTGAAGAATATTCATTTCCTTATCCGTGAAGGCTTACGCTTATTTTCGAAGATCCTGAAGATACTAAAATGTATGAAAAATAAAATAGCATGAGCGCAACAGAATTACACGTAAGCGCATGCTGATATTTTACATTCATCGCTTTTCGCATTTTTTGTGACATTGACATCCTATCATCCAAAATAAACACTATGAAATAGTGAAAAAGCATGTTTTTTTGGATCAAAAACGTAAAAAAAATTGCAGAAAATAACAGTGCACAAATTCTCAATAGGTGAGATAGAAGCACACAACTACAATGAAGCTTGTTTATTGAAAATAAAAAGCAATGTAAGTGAATTGAAAAAAAACAGAGGGGCTCAACAGAATCTAACGAAACACAATCACGCCAATATTGTAAGTAGACAGATCTCTTGATTTTGAACAAAATACAAATCTACGAGTGCGATGGTGGTGCCAACATGCCTCTTCGAACTGCGCACGAATTTTTATGACCCGGTGGCAAAAGATGTGGAGCTGTCTGGATTATTGGGGATTGCGATCGAATCGAGCACTTGTGGTGGATTCCCAGATCAACCTAAATAAATTCATGACGTAAATAGGTAATAAGGCGTACTGCGAAGAAGAAACACAAATTCTTACTTCAAACAAAAAGATTTATAATTTAGTTCACTCTTTTTGCTTCACTTCTTTTCTATGTTTTAAATATTTAATTTCCCATATATATCGAAAATATAACAGTGAATGCTGTTCCATTCATAAAAAAAATTTGAGAAAAGCTGTGGCCAAAAATCCATGTTTTGACTCATGCCTGGCCAGCACTGTATGTTACATTTGTTTGCTTACCAATTCCAGGCTTTCCTCTCCACCGTCAGGATCTTCATCACTATCTCTTCTCAAGATTTGAATCTGTAATGATTGTTCAATGTATTATTAGAGTCCTAATTATAAATTGCGCTCAAGCAGATGCGTAAATTACTGCTTAAACGCAGTGAAACTCAAAACCTGATTTCACATGCTTTAAAATCAATGTTGAATAAAGACGACCTTAACAAAATGGATGATCAACGTTTGGGGCGTTGCACTTGCGATTTTTGTTAACTTCAAAATGATACATTCCGTCATCATTCAATTTCATATACAAAGCCAAAAATGGGCGGCCACCTTTACTTAAACAAAATCATGCGTTTGACGTAAAGCCAAGCATATCGAAAATAAAATGTCTAGCGAGTCATTGGAAATCAAAAGGAATAGCAAATAAAAAATTATAAAATCAAACACTGATTTCAAAACATGCTAAACCGATTTTGAGTTACCTGTGGTACCTGATTGCTCAGATCAATTGAATCGCGCACTGGGCTTAAATCCTCATTTTCGAATAGGTTCAATTTATTATCAGATGGCGGGTACATTTGGTATTCAGATTCATTAAATCGTCCTTCCGCCTTTAAAAAGGTTTGATAATTGTAATTTTGGCTTAATTACCCTGAGTCGCTCAATTTCAGCGGCAGAGCATTGTGGAGTGTTGATTGAGTAAACGTTGTGAAATTTTCCAAAGTCGATATTATATTGGCCGTTTTCTTTTTTGTAATGAACGAGTTTCTCAAATCTGAAACAATAGCTCATAAATTTTTTAGCTTATGCATGAAGAGTTAATAATATACCTATGGCCCCACAAAATTTCCGATGGTAGGTAACTGGTTCTCGCCTGTGTTGTAGATCCCACACTTTCTACCACGCCCTCCAGTATCGCTGAATTGTACAATTTGCTTGCTGCATTCAATATCGTCATCGTTTCCTCTTACCGATAATTTCAAACTTTGCACTTTTCAAGTCTTCAGCTCCTATGTCCCAAAGCGGACTTCGTTCATCGATTTCATGACAAATTGTTATTGGCCAAATCACAAAAACACGGTCGAGGCCTTGATCGTATCTGAAATGTGATCATATCTTCCGCATTTATGATTTCATTATTTTTAACTAAATTCGGCGAAGCGTAAAAAAAAAAAAAAACGAAAACTAGAGGAAATTCCGTTGCAGCAGTTTATGTAATATAATTATGTGAATCAGATTCCAACTTATTCTATTTAAACTTTCACTTGTCCTTTTCTTATACTACACGTTTTATGACGAGAGTTTATTTCAATCATACGCCTTTATAAAATGTTCCTTGAATACAATCAATTTATAATCATTTCCTGAATAGGAGTTCTGATGAACCTGTTTCAAATATGAATAAGCTGATACATAAAAAAAAACGCGTTTCATTGAGAAATATTCCTTACTTTGTTAGCAAATTTCGGTTTTTCATTATGCATTTTTCTGCGTGCTGATTTTAAATTTAAAAAATTCATTCCTTTTGTATATCATCATCGCAAAAAACGAGCACTTTCAATAATTGTAGTCCATTGCACCATTTAGGGGCAGTACTTCAAATTTCGATTTGAAAACTGGAAATTCAAGTACCGTATTACAGATAACCTGCGAATCAAACCCATCGTAAATCGACGCAGAGCTTTCGGTTTTTTTTTGTCCTACTGGAGTTGGACCACTATTTGTGTTTATTGATTTGCTATTGTTGTTATTCGCATTATCTTATGAGAGCACTATCAATCATAGAAGTGGCTTGTACTGTTACGAATTTCTTGAAATGATTATTTAATGACCATCATTAGGTCTTAAAATTGTTCAAGTAATAAAATACTTAATTATTCCTACGTCATACTGTAGGAATGCGTAATTGAAGAATATGATGATATTCAATGAATTAATAATTGGTTGCGTTTAAGTAATTTGAAAGACTACTTGTTTTCACTTTCGCAGGCGCAAATTTGATACTTTTAACAATCAATTTGAAACGTGCAAACAGTTATTTATCGCACCTTAAACGTTTCGTTGCTAGAGTATATTTTCCTTGGCAATAAGGAAGCCACGCCCATCCAAACTCGTCGCTAAAAGTAAAAATTCATGTTCATACAATTTCTGCACAAACACGATAGTTGTCATGCAAATAATTGAAAAGTAGAGGCATAACACAAAATCACGACGAATTTGGCTAAAGTTAATTATCCAAAAGAGTAACACATGCCGATTGTTATTAATCTCTTTAGAAATCGTTTTGTTATTCTCCTCTCAATTGATAATTAGTTTTAAATAAATATTTTTCCCATTTCTGGCATTAGAAAAATTCTCTTTACTCTACAATTTCTTTTTATTTTATTTGAATATACTAACAAAATATGGATTTATTTTCAAAATAAGCAATTGTAGTTATAGTAACAAAATTGGTTTGTCGAAATTGTATTTCTCAGAAGAAAATCAGAGAGCTCAAATAGTCCATTTCTTGTCACAACAAGATAGACGATTTTTTTTTCTGTTTTAACGAAGCTCGGACGTTTATTATCTCAAAACTTCTTATTCATAATATTATCATTATCTGCTTATTTTTGCTATGACCCCCACCATGTCAACCAGTCCTCACAGCCAGTCTAGTTTGTTAGTGTTTTTTTTTAAGTAGCGCAGTCCATTTTATTATTACTATACTTTCACTGGTTAGCCGATTTTGTGTGTTTTTCGCACTCAATTGCCAAACAACCATTTAAATATGTGAGTAAATTGCACTTACCCAACGTCCATGTCGAATTGATGAAATGGTAAAAGTTCACCCTCATAAGTGACGCATCTTTTGATCATCTGAAACATCATAATTCTCATCTGTTTTTCTTAGATGATCCCAAGACTAACGGTAATTCACACCATGAAGTCTATCCGATTTTCGTAGTATTTTTTTTTCAAAATTTGATTCCCAACACTAATATAGTTTCCTGCCGTGAAATAACAATTTGCTTTTCGTTTTTTTATTCACCCTTCATTTAATATTGAAATCTCGCTTGCCACAATTCCCTTGTACTCTTTGTCCCAGAAAAATTAGTTTTTTTTAAACGCAGGCTGCATTGTTTTTATGGTGTTTTTTTTGCGCAATGGCGCAGTTGGTAAAAAAATTTCATTGGATTTTTATATATTCAGTTAAGATTGTTTTAATGCTCTCTTAATGTAAGAAAAAAAGATGGGAAAACAAATTATTCTTATGTCATTCTTCCATTTGGTAGTTCGTTGCTATCGCGCTTGCTCCTCGTTAGACATATTAACGTATTATTTATTTATTAGCAAAGAGAAAATTTCTAGTAAATTAGAATCAACACGAGAAGGTATTCTGTTTCTCAAAAGGAACCACCTAGCAATTTTACCGCTTCGTCATATGCTACCGAAATATTGATGCTGACACGTTTTTAAAGCTATACTTAGAAGCTATCAAAGGAAACTAAGTGATTCGTAAATAATTGTCAGAAAACAAGGCTATTTGTTATTCCGTCATCAAAACTTTATCCAGCGATAAGTTGGAAATCCTAGTGATGAAAGCGAGCAGAAAATAGATTTCGTGAAATTCCTTATAAGCCGATCTCGACTAGGCAGGAGTGTGTATATAATCTACCACAAATGGTTTTCTCAATCGAGCTTTTTTTTCGTTTTTGTGTTTCACATTTTTCCCCTCTTTCGTCCGAAAAAAAAGCCCGTCAAAACTGTTCAATATGTTTCTCAATATATCAAACATTATTGTTTAGACTCCGCCCAATCAATTTTGCAATCGATTGTCGTGCCAATCTATCATTTTTATTCGACTCATACATCACGATGGACAAGAATCTCGGGACTTTCATCGACATTGAACCCGCTGTCAACAAAGACAATGACTCAGTTTTAGCTGATGGTTCCGACACAGCCATTTCGAGATCGAACAAGTAAGATACTTTGCGTTTTACGGGAATATGGGCATATATGTTTTAGGAAGCGAAGAACTGTCACTTTTGCGGAGATGGACGCGACAAAACTGGACGAAAACGGTGACGCCAAAGTTCTCTACACGATCATTCCTCCATCAAAATATGAAAATAGTGAACAAGGTTCGTGCCATTGAGTGCACAGTTGATTGAAAAGATAAAAAAAAGAAACAATTACCGATTTTCAGCATTCTGCCATCGACATCACACCCTATTTTTCGTTTTAAAAATTGTCATTGTGCTTTTTCTACTATTCGCGAGCATTTTCTGTTTAGTGTACTTCGCTGCCCGAAGCTATCAAACGCAATAGAACCGTTTTTTTTAAACACCACTGTCATAAACCACCATTGTCATAATCGATTTAAACTCGGGAACCCAATACCCACCCCCCCCCATGACGTCGTTACCTCGCACACACGGAATTAACTACATTACGGCAGATTAATTGCAATTTTATATTCATTTCTTTGTCTTCATTTAATTTTTTGATCTCTTCTTTTGGTATTTTAGTGGTGCTAATAAATACTTGCCTGCAGACGAACGTGTGCTTCAGCCAAACTTGATTTTCTCATATCACCAACACGAAATAGAAGACAAAGTTTTCCATCTCGAAGACAAATGACCTAAAAACACACAATTCTTGTTTCTATCAAGCGCTTGTTTTCATATACGTGATTCATTTACGTATCACTAAACACCTACGAGATTTGGATTATCTACTTTATCGAGATAAATCGTCGCAATGATTTTTATGTCAGAAACATTTAGTGTGTGTCGACTTACCGCGTTTTTCGAGAAAATCAATGTCGCTGCTCTTTTGATTGGTCTTGCGAGTTTTGAGAAGATGATACCCGCCATGAGAGTCTGAAGGCGTAATTAAAACTTGGAAGTAGTCAATATAAAAGAAATGCAAGTGCAATTACAAAAAGTGGATGATTGAAAAAAATCGGATATCCGTTACAATCTTGCCACCCAATTTGAAGTGTTATTTAAAAAATAGGTCACCTGAGTCATGACTCCCCACATAAACTGGAAGCACATTGTGACTATTGTCATCGGGCATGTGTCGGTGGGATACCTAAACAATTACATCAATATTTTCCATCTCCGTGTCTATATTTACGTATACTCATATACACATATTGTTATTAAACTTTTGCAGCATTTTTATGCTAATTTATGAGCTTCTATGTCCTGGGAAAATGCAAATAAACCAATGGTGTACAGAAAAATGGGAATTGTTTTGGAATATTTACAGGGTGGCTGAAAATTACCCGGACTAAAATTTCGAGCCTTCGTGAGGCGCACTGGTGCTTTTTCAGCGCAATGTTTTTTAATTTTTCAAATTAGCAATGTTTTTTTTTACTATCTCTCAAATTTTCATGATAATTGGTTCGGTTTTAGCAAAATGGCGAAGCAAAATGCAAACCGACCCGCAATTATCGCATTACACAAGTCCGGAATAGGCACGTATGCAATTTGGAAGCATCTGGGAATTCCGAAAAGCACCGTCTACGATGCGATTTCTCGTTTCAAGGATCTTGGCACAACCCAGGACCGTGCAGGCAGAGAAAGAAAAACTACGGTGACGACTTCTTCGAACGTTAAGATGGTCCGAGACAGAATCAGACGAAATGCTCATCAGAGCATCAGAAAAATGGCTTCCGCACTGAATATGTCACGAGCTTCAATGACAACCATTGTCAAAAATAAGCTAAAGTTGACTTCTTATTGTGTCAGAAAAGCGGCCATCCTTTCTCAATCCAACAAGCTCAAACGGCACCAAAAGGCAAAACACCTTTTGGCGCGCGCGCGGGTTGAGGAACATCTGTCGATGGTCTTTTCGGACGGAAAGCTGTTCACCGTGGAGACCGAATTCAATTCGCAAAAACTTCGAGTGCTTGCCCGAACGTCCAAGGAAGCTTCAGAACTCGGCTGGACGATTCATCGTACGTCGCACTCCGTCAGCGCCATGGTCTTCGGTGCCATCTGCTCCAATGGCAAATGTCCTCTGATTTTCGTGGAAAATGGTGTCAAAATCGACAAGTACTACTATATCAATGAGATCCTGAAGAAGAACTTGCTTCGTTGGGCCCAAAAACACTTTGGTGGACAACGATGGGTGTTCCAGCAGGACGGGACGCCAGCTCATACTGCAAAGTTTACACAGGAGTGGTGCGCCAACAATTTCCCCTCCTTCATCAAGTCAAAAGAATGGCCCGCCTCGTCTCCTGAATTAATCCGTTGGACTACTCCGTATGCGGGGTCTTACAGAGCAAGGTCCTTGCTAGGCCCCACCCGAATTTGGACTCTCTAAAGAAAGCGCTGGTCGAGGAATGGGACAAATTGTCGGTGGAATACCTGCGCGCCACGGTCGACGCATATCCGAAGCGTCTTCGCGCCGTCATCAGAAACCGCGGAGATCGAATCGAACAACGATAATCTAATTATGTTTGTTATTGTAAAAATAAACTAAATATGAAATTTGAGTGTGTTTGAACAATTATTCACTGAAATACATTGGTTTTCATATAGTCCGGGTAATTTTCAGCCACCCTGTACTTCGACTAGTTAAAAAAAAATTCGGTAGACACGAATTTACCTTGGATTTGTAAAATTATAAATAAATAAAGTGAACGTTAAAAAAAATCATTAATATTTTTTTCATTATTGTCTAAGTCCTAAGTATAGATCACACGACAATTTTCAAGTTTATCTACAACAAAAAAATTTCAATGGATAAGTCAACATGTTTTCATTTGAGGAATCGATCTTAAAAAACAAAAATTTCCAAACAATAGGATTTCCAAAAAATACAAAAAAATTATCCAATATATGTTACTGGCATGAAATAATTATGGGCTCCGTTTTTTTCTAAATTTAAACAAATTTCTTTTTTTTCAACGTTGATATATATATTTTTTTCTTTTCCGTTTTGCCTATTAAGAGGATATGAATTATTCCGAATTCTAGAATTCATTCTTTCCTTAATTTCATTTGCCGCTTTCCCTTATTTTAAATACTCATTCCATACCTGAATCCGTAGCCAATCGTTGTTTGGGTTGTGAATGAAAAGAGAAACGCGTTGAGCTCATTGTGGACGTTAACAATGCATGGCGTCCATGTAGCATTCGCAACCTGGAAAGAATAACTAGAATTTCATTAGGAAAATATTTTACCTGTTCGATGTCGCCGTGTTGTTTTGCGATCATGAAGTAAAGTGTAGCAAAAAAGGACCAACTGATTATAAACGACAGCGAGAAGTACAACAAACACCACCGCCATTTCATTTCGATCACAGTAGTGAAGATGTCGCTTAACGATTATTCAAATGAAGAATTTCATTACAACATTTTTTTTTCATAAAGAAACTTTAAAAAAAAATTTAATGACTGAAACATTTTTTGTTACAATTTTAACCGCAATTTTCATATTTTTCAAAATAATGCTATAAATTTCACGTAAGGAAAGATGATTTTGTCTGATGTGATAAGATGGTAAGACATACGAGAAATACTTTCTTCGTTGCTTTGGCACATTCTTCAAACTGATGTTGCACAGTCCCTGAAACAAGAAGCAGCTTTTAATTCGTGAAGCTATGAAGAAATGAGTCTCGTTTTTTATTGCCAATAAAATATAATTTGAATTTTTATTTGAGTTCTAATTGGTTTCTCAATGACACCTGATATCTGGAGGTGGTTTAAAATGTCGAAAGCTCGAGAAGACGAGACAAAAGAAAATTTGTTCGTGTAAGTGATTGATTACAAATAATAACATGCAATCAAATTATTGTTATCAATATTACTTTTAAATTATTTTGTGGGTAAATTATATTTATTTTCTTTTCTATTTCTCATAAGAAAATTGCATTTCCTCATTTTATTTGGATTTAGAAAAAAACGTTTATTCAATATGTGCCACGATAATGGTGAAATGCGAATATTTGTTGGAAATTTCAATGAATGTTTATTTCACTTCTTTCCACATAACTTTTTTTTTAAATAAACGAGACGGTGAAATGCTCAAGAAAACACTTTGGATGATTAATGGCTATAGCATCGTAAACATACGTTTTCAAAATATATTTCTTGATAATATTTTCCAACTTTTAAACTTATTGAAAAATTGTAAATGGTAAAAATTTTATGTTCATGGTAAAGCTTTGAAGAGCCGTTCCAGTCGGTCTTATATTTTTTTTTCATCCTCTGAATTTTGTTTTTCTCACTTACACTATAGAAATTCTCCAGAATTGATGAACACTCTTCCATCAACTTCTACTACACACTTCTCAAGAGCATGTGCACTCTAAAGTCATTGAAAACGCCTCAATTGAATAATTTCTTTTACTAGTTTTTTTTAAAGAAATAATGATTTAAACAAACACTTGAACTTGCTCTCAAATTTACGGAAGTTTTTATAAAGTTTATAAACGGCCTTTCTTTTTTTGTCATTTTGACGAGTTGTTTTTTTTTTGTCAAATCGAAAAACAAATGAGAACGTAAATCTATCCCAAAAAAAAAACTTTTACCATAGCAAATATATTAAAGAAGATACAGTAATTGGGAGAAAATATTCATTGTTTGAGGTCTAAAAATGGAAGCTGTAAATTACAAACCTGCTTCTGAACAAGTCGGTTCCGGATTCGTCGTGATCCACCCAAGCGCGGAGTCTTAAAGAATGGATACTTCTTACTCTTCACCAATGGCTCCTCGATATCCAACATTCGTTGCGCTGATAATAAATCAGTTACGGAAGGGGACATGGCTACCGTTGTCTTGCGACGACAACCATTCCTATCGTCATCGTCAAACCGAACAAGTTTCAACGACATTTTTGAGTGTTGAAGAATCGAATAGTGGCGAATCAGGGTAATACAATATTCATTATGACCAAATTTTCAGAACCGCGTGCGTTTATCGTATGCTTTAGGGTGTTTTTCTTGCCTGCTGTGATGTCGATGAAGAAAAACGAACGAATGAGAATGCACAAAATGGTGAATGGAAAGAGGAGTGAGTGCCTGAGACGTGAGCCTTCTTTCACTGAGTTTGAGTGTCACTCTCACCGCCCCCAATTTGAGCGTTTTCTTTTTGTTTTGTTTTGTTTTACTTGCTGGTGTTTTTTTTTAATTCACTTCAGCGTAATGTCGATCTACAAGAAAAGAAGAGGTAACTGGACTTCGATAAATTCACTAAAAAGAATCGGCATTGAGTGCCTCATTCTTTTCTTTATAAAATCGAGTTTTTGGCTTATCTACACCCACATATTGCAGAACTATTTCCAAACTAGTACTCAAGCCGAAAGAAAAACACCTTTCTAAATTATATTATGATATTTTTTTATTCATGAGCTTAGTTAAAAACATCAATATTATCAAGACTTCTTTCCAGGTCTCAATAAATAAACTATTAATAACGTTAAACTTCATTTCAAATGCAAATTTCGTGAAATAAAGACTGAAAATACGATAAAATGCGTTTGAAATGAATTTCAAACAATAAATGTAAAAAGAACATACCATCAAATCTTATTCTAAAATTATACATAGATTCAAATTATTCCATCAAGGTTGAGGGAAAGGAAGTAAAATGCGAATGATAGACACTTTTAATGATTCTTCTCAAGATGTATAGTTTAACAGATGTTAACGTTAATACAACAGATAGATATTTGGATATTCTCGAATACCTACACATCTGTTCGAGGAATGTTATAAATACAATTTTTAAAATGTTTAGTGGAAGACAGAAAACTGTTTCATTAAATTGTTAAAACTTGCACGAAGAATCATAAGACATTCGAATGTTCAGCAAAATGTAAAAACTTCGGCAGATAAATGAAAAGTGGCAGATATAAAATGAAAAATCGAAAATTTGATTGGATGTCGAATGTGAAGTTGATATGAATTTTTTGAATTTGTGCTTCTCACATGGGCAATAATTTCCGGTTTCAGCAGTTTTGTGAAGCGTTTCGCTTCGGAACGAGTTTTTCTTCTACGAAAAAAACTGATTTGGTCTGTAAAATATCAAAAAATAACACGAATGGTTATATTAAAACTCTTTTCTGTGAAAAATAGTCGAATAGCAATAGTGATATCATTTTTCTGCAACCATAGTTTCACAGTTAAATTTTTGGATTCCTTCCTAAAGAACACAAAATTCTGGATTTTTTTGAATTATTCCGAATATTTTTCGAATGCTCGAAAGCACAAATTTGTGTTCTCCTTTCAAAATTCGAAAATTAATGAGGTCCCAAATCGCTTCAAAAAATTTTTTGACATTGAAAAACTATATTTAGGTAAAAGATTCGGAAAAAATTAAAGTAAACTAGATGTGAAATTGATATGCATATGATTCATAGAGATTATTTAATTAAATTAATCTTTAATTGGATGCATTTAGATGTGATAGATACCGTTTTTACCAATATTTTGCATTGAATTGAAATTCTGACGTTTTTTTTTGTATATTTTTAAAATACTATAATTATTTTGAAGATCATGTTCGAATAAAGTTAGGATAAATCGTGAAACTTGACAAAAATTACTCAGTGAAATCATCGATTCACACTTCGGAAATATGATATTAAAAATGTCTGAACATCAATAATCGGCAGTTTAAACAGATGTTCAAAATACATATGTGAAGTAGTCGCACACATGAGTGTGTTAAAAAAACCATCAATGATCAAGACAAAAAAAAATAAATAATGGGAGAGGTTGGCACCAAGAAACAATAATTAGAAAAGCTTCAAAGCAAATAACATTTTGATCAACGTCAGAAATTTAAAAAGAGCACACCAAGAATAATGCCAAAATTAAACATTTCTTGACAAACAGCGCACCGAGAAACGCATTGATTCTTTTTTTTGGATGTGGAATAATTAATATCAGAATTATGCAAATAATTTTAACTGTTACAATGCCAATGTGTCATGTTGTTTTTTTCAAACTGCTATTGGTTGTTTGTTTACCTTAGAAAAATGTGTTGCTTTGTTTTCTTGCAATCGATTTCCAAACAAAATTCTATGGCTAGAAATGACAATAAATCAGAAATGGCTCAAATTGCTTTTAAATGGATGCATGGATAAAAAACCTTTTATCGCTCTTAGGAAAGAAAGACGTCCAATTATTGCGAGCGCCTATTTCGGTCGTAATTTTGGTATTATTGATGAGGATATTCAATAAGATTTTATGTGGCAACGTTTTCATAATAGTTTTTCAAACTTTTGCGCTTCATTATTGAAAAACATAAAATTTTATCTACATAAAATGGAGTATTAAATCTAAATGTTTTCGGTTTTCAAACACAAGTTTAATATTGAAAAACGAAAGAACAACGATTGTTTTTTGTTAATAATTGATATTGAATTAGGAAAAATGCGTAAATCATTCCGAATGACTAAGTAATGCAATACGAACATTATTCCTATTTTTAATTATTTGTATACAAGAATTAAATATATTGGGTTACTAATTTTAAGCACCAACGATGATTGCTCATAATGACGAATTTTCAAAAAATCGCAAGATTTTTATAAATACCACTTTGATGAATAATTATATAATACGTTTCCAGTTTGTCCTTGAAAAAGATCAGGCAAATTGAAATAGAAGGAAAATAACATGAAGAATATATATGTTTTCTACAGAAGTACGACAAAAATTATATTGATGAAAGGGTGGAATAAGTGCAAACAAGCTGTGTGAAAATACATGCTACAAACATGAGATCTACACGCTCTTGAAATTGAATGTGTAAAACGTTAAAATTACTTTAAAGTAAGCCAACAATTTTACAAATTTTTGTGAAGCTTTTATCATGACTAAGGTGATTACACACAATATCGATATTTTATACATCAGCCATTTGGCTCAATATACTCACATGACTTATGTAATGCAAAACTTAGGTAATGTGAGAAATCTTTAAAATTCAAGTATTGAAACACATATATTAGATGAAAAAAAAAAACATTTTAAGAATATTTTTTTTACATTAGATAGTAATTTTACTCAAACTCGTATTGTTTAGATGATTTTAAATTTTTCTTTGTTAACTGTCTTTACTGAAAACATTAAAAAATGAAAAAAAATGTATTCGAAAACATCGAAATGAATAGAATGAGTTAATCCAAGATTAATTCGTATTTAATGAGTTGTATTTATTATAACAGCAAGAAATAAGAAATTTATCATTCTCGTCCCTTAATATATTTCGTCTTTCGTGTTGGGAAATCGATAAACTGAACTTATATTAGGAAAACGCGGTGTTATCCTTAGCATATTATATCATCTTTTTATAACACATCAGAGAGCCATGTTTTTTTTTTTTCAATGTTTTCGTAATTTTTGTGACTTATTGAAATAAAGAAATAAATATGCAAGCATAAAATAAATTCCATTTTACAAACCCAAATTTGCATTAATTTCATTACTTCTGATTAGTTCTTTTTTAATGCGATTATTTACTATAAAATATATGATTCAAATAAGCTGTGACGCCTTTGCGCAAAAAATTTGAATATCGATAATTTGGGAAAAAAATTAAAAAATTGAAAACTATGATGATTGTAATAAACGTTGTCAAATTATCCTTTGCAAAATCAATTTGATCAATTATCAGTTATTAGATTCTCGTGAATATAACAATATTCAATTTTGAAATTTCATAGCATCTTATGTGCTTTTTTTTTATTGTTTTTCGTGCTCATTTTCGTGTCATTTTTACGCGCATTGAAATCAGGCCAAAAAGAAACGATCGAAAACAAAGCGCACATAACTTTTATGAAAAGTGTTCTTGGTTAGTTTCTTGTGGTTGCACGACGACGTCAAAATTGATGTGGAGGTAATTGTCTTGTCTTGTCATTTTCTCACAAAAAATCGTTAGTCGTTTAGTAAGCAACATAAGAAGTAGGACAATTATAATCCTGGTGACAGATTAAAATGAGAAACAACTAGCATCAGAATTTTAAATCTATCTCATGGAAAAACATGAATTGAAGAAAATGTCGCAGCATCTTTAATCAGCTGATTTAATGCGTCTTAATTCATTAGAAGTCGATGATGAGCACATGTTCGATTTTTAATCAGAATCTAGTTCTCCAAATTTCTTTCATTTTCTAATACCTTGTTCGCGATCGAGCAACAACGATCTACCGGGCAATCTTCCATTTGCTAACGCAAGTCGTTCGACGCGTTCCACAAAATTCTGCGGCATCGAAGACACGCAAGAGGAAGTAATTAAAAACTGAAATTCTGAAAAAAAAACATAGAAAAGCCGCAATATGCATTTAAAAAAATAAAATCAGCAGGAGAAAACTTCGAAACGAAAACTATAAAAACATTATAAGTTATTGTTAGAAAAAACTGAAGAATTTTGTATTTTGAAGCAAAAATCAGTTTTCATTAATCAACAAGTAATATTTTTCTCGTTGGCAATAAAAAAAAAACGAAAAATTGCAAGCATTTTTTAAATTTTAATTATTTTTTTTTGTACATTGATAGAATTTCAATAAAATTAGATTTGTCTTACTATTTTGAAATTAATTTAGCATAGACTATACAGGAAATAATATATTGATTTGTTTATCAATTCTATAACAAATTTATTAGCATTAAAATCTGAAACCTTAAGTCTAAATCAAACTGATTCAAAAAAAATAATAAGCGTTCTAAGCAAAAACAGTTTATGGATATAGTTTTTGGTTATGAAATCGTCGCATTTTGGATAAGTTGAAATCATTAAATACTACTTTTAAATAAATTCACAAGGAAAAATTCAAAGTTAAAAACTAAAAAAATTAAATAAAGGGAAATTTTAAAAATCATAATAAATAAAATGTGTAATAATGAGTATTTAATCATGCCATGAGAAGTACAAAGGAATGATTATTACCGTTTTTTTAATATTATTTCGCATTTGTGAATGACAATGTAGTACACCAAACTTAGAATAAAATTCATTATTGGTTTTTTTTTCGGGTTGCAATTACTTCGCATGATTAGTTTTGATTTTCAGAGCTATACTGAGAAACCATTTTAGGAAACAATTATGTCTCTTGCAAGTTCGTTATTCATTTTCAAGAATAGCTAAGCGTCAGACTGGAAAAAAAACGAGACTTCTTTGAATACAAGGATATTTGGTTCACGAGGCCTCAGGTGTCATTTTCGTGTCAGATTGAATAGCTCTAAAACTTTGTTTAGCAACGGTGCAACTATTTTTCGGAGTTGCACCATAAGAAACAAGAAAGTCTAGAATATGAAACGTGGAAATAAATATTTGAAACCCCTTTATACCAAATTGAAAAAAAGTAGAAGGAGCTCGAATAAGCGAAGGAGCGGAGCGAATTATCGCAAAGCCCTTACACGTAGTAAAGAAAAAGAAGTTGCGCAGAAAAAATGGAGAAGATGAAAACAATTGAATCAACACAAGAAAATATCTTAGGTAAAGAATAATTAAATGAATTGAGAGAAAAGACCTACGTGAAAGTATATCTTCAAATTCAACGGAATATTCTTATTTTGCTCAAAAAAAATTAAGCATTTTGAAGTGAATGTTCAGATAGTAAGGAAGTCACGTTTGGCATCACATTTTAATTGCTTTTCCGTTCAATCAATGACGTTGAAAACACCAACATGATTGTTGCGTTCTCTAGAAAGACATTCAACTTTCTTGATTGTCGGATGTTTCAATCAAAAAATCCGAAACGCAATGCTTCCGGCAATGCAGTAAAAAATAGAATATTATAAGGTAATAAAGTGGGGAACATTCAAATTAATTCGTAATAAATTAAGTTATGTAGCTCTCCCTCAAAAAAAAATGCATTGGTTTTTGAATAATAATATCCAGCGAACGATTATGAGTATTTATCAAGTCGAGAGCTCCAGAATATCTAAGAAAGTGCTTGAAATGCAATATCGGAAAAAAATAAGCTTTAGTTTTATTTTATTCACGTAGAGCTACTTGTGATTTTTCTGAAGCATAAGTAAAGTAAGCACAGGTTGATTGAAATAATATCATGACAAATTTGTTTGTGCAAAATGAAAATGAGTAACTGACGAATAAATAAAAATAATAATAAGAATATTAGTTGCTTCTAGAACTTGTTTTCGGATTGTTATGGCAAGGTCAACTATTCACTTCTCCAATAAATGCTCGCCGCGAAAACAACTTTGCGACTGATAGGGCATTTTTACAAGATACAAGTTTCTATCTTTAAATAGTAATATGTATTAATGCACTTATTCATGCAATAAAACAATAAAAAGGTCACCTAATTTTCAAATGAATAGAAAATAAACGTTTTAAGCTATTTCTAAAATTTTTTTTATAAAAAATATAAAATAACATTTAATGATTAAGTATATATGTTAACAATAATGTTTTAATGTTGACAAAAAAAGACAAATTCTCAATTGGTGCAAAAGATTTTTTAACATACATGAATAAAAAATTTGAAAGCATAACAGTCTCCTATTAGAAACAAGTAGATATATAAAGGTTTCTTTGATTTGAGAAATATAATATGATTTATATTATGATATTATATATGTTTCATATTATGATATTTTATAGTGCGAATTATGTATTATGAATGTATGTTTCATTTTGGCCTTTTAAAATTGCTGAAACACCTGAAAATTAAAAAAAATTCAACACAACGCGGTGAACAGTCTATTTAGCTGAAAAGAAGCTTGAAGTGAGCGATTGAAACAAAATTCAATAAAGCTTTCCAGACCATCAAGTTTTATTTTAAAAAATTCTAGGCAATATACCAAAAAGGTTAGAATAGTGGCTCGTTACACTTTTTTGGATCAAGCTTTTCCTAAAATTGCCTACGTTTACGAGTAAGGCTATTTTCTGCTATTCGCTCTCAAGAATTTACTCCATCGTAGCCTATAAGTATTCGGAGGCACAAACAAGTCAAATTTTGGCAGTTTTTCTTCATCGGAAAAATACCTCACTAGAGTTATCGATTTCAAAAAGAATGGTTTTTTGAGATCTCAAAAACTGAAATTGCATATTTAATGCAATTTTTCGCGAAATACACATTATGGAAAACTATAATATTGTTATGGGCCTTGCAATAAATTCAATTTTTAAGGAAATGTTTAAAACATACAATAGAAAGTCTGGGTTTTACTATAATTTCCAAATGTGAAAATACTTTTATACGGGCTGATATAAGCACAAAATAAACAAAAAATAAGAAAAAAATACAAAAACTACTTCACCATAATATTTGAAATAGACTTGCATTATCAAGTCTCATATCAAAAAAATGGGAATAGAATTCTAGTTGGGTTATAAGATGAGGAAGAAAAATGTACAAAGTAACGGAAAATATTGGGTGTGTTGGCATTTAAACGCGAAAAAGTGTGTGTTTGTGCGTAGAAAAAAGCATATGGTGTTGGCGTTTCGAAATGACAGTGACGGCGGCGTTAGATATATTGCGCGAGCAGCCGGAAAAGATCTAGCAGTCAATTGGAGTTCAGTGCGTCATTAAAATCGGAATAGCTAGCATTAGTTCACGAAAAAAATTTTGCAAAAAAAAATGAATTTATACGAAATAAAACGTATAAATTGTGTCATAGATTAAAATAAATAAATACATCATCTAGAATAAGTTCGTCAAAAATTTTATGATCTTGAAAAAAAATTATTCGACAGAGAGCAAAAAACATTGCATTTCACTTTTTTTTCCTAAAAAAAATCAAATGATTTGTATTACAATCGCAAAACAACGAGCACCTTGCGACGATGTACAGTGAGTTAGCAGGTCATCAAGAGGACGGTACCCAAATTCCCACTGTATAAACCGAGATCTGAATTACCTCCAAAAAAATAGGAGCGATGGTCCACAATTATGCAAGGCACTCGTTTTTTTGCGATAGTGATATATGAATCAAAATAGTAAACAATAAATTGAAAAATTTTCGAAAAACGCGTTTTCTTTTGAAATAAAATTGTTATGATGCAAGGAATTTCAATATTGAAGAAGTCATTATTGACGAAAAAAATGGTTCTAAAAATGAAAAAAATTCCTTTTAAAGAAACATAGAACGAATATAAGATTTAGACTTTTTTTCCATTTTTTAAATTATTGAACTTAGTTGATATTTTTTTAAGAGTAGAAAATAAAAATAATGAAAAATGGAAGCTTAGTTGAAAGAAACAACACAAATTTGCCCTCAGTTCGTTTCATTAAAGCAAGGAAAAATGAAAAAAAAAACGGGGGAGTTACTGCAAATTCCATGTCTAATTGGGAACGTTTCCGAAGTTGATTCGACATCGAGTAGTAGATTTTATCCTCACAAAAGCATTTTCAAAAAAGCAATTGCCTTTTTCCTTTTCTTGAAAAAATACGTCCAAAGAAAATATTTCGATGAGCTTTTGTGTGGGTATAAGGACCTACTTGAAATCGGTGTGAGCGGTTGAGATTTGCTCGTTCCGCATGCTTCAATTTGCAATAACTCGAAAATCATACGATCATCATTATACATATTCATGATGTTGAATTCCATCAGTTTGAGAAAAGACAGAAGAAAGTGAATTCGACATATTAAAATGAAATAGATATTATTATTAAATAAAGGAAAATTCATTATTTTGTGAGAGAAAAACCACTAAATAAATCTGGAAACATTTCATTTGTTTTTTTACGAACATATATGTGTTCGTTAAAGCAAATCATAAAAAATATGATTATTTTATAATAACATCATCGCACCGAAAAGATCCAAACAAAAATTATTTCCAACTTTACAATCTTCGGTATAAACAAGGTAATTTCAGAAGGCATCCATCAAATTTGTGGTTAATATTAATTGCATTTTTCCAACGTATACCGTTTTTTTGCATTGTTCCGTTCATTTAATTCATAGAATAGCAAAATTATTCACAGAAAAGCAAAAAATGAAAAATTGAATCTACTTCTAAGGTATTAATGAAAGAGGCAGCATACAAAACATTCAAAAATATTTCGAACATATTCACAGGCATAATTATTCAAAAATGTTTTTAACGATATGCAAATTACAAAAAAAACGTCGCCAGGGTTGTTATAGCAATAAAAAAACATAGCAAAATCTTGTATATGGATTGAATTTCTGATATAACCACAGTGTGTATTGAGTATTATTGTTGTTATTGTTATATGTAAAACTGTCGCCAAAAAACGAGCACACATGAAAAAACTGCTCGAGATGCTCCTTTTTTGGCGATTAAAATACTATAACAAATATTTAATAATTAAATTATTATATATGTAGTAAATAAAGGTTTCAAACCAGGCAAAACGTGCGTAAATGTTGGCTGCTTAGACATATTTTCGGTTAGTTGACAACATCATTTTTAGAATAATATTAATGGAACCAGTAAAAACGTCTCGGCAATATAACGGGGGTGCTTGGGAATTCAATGCAATGGAATGAAATTCTGGTCTAATCAAGAAGATGTCTCTGTCCAATAACAGGTGCATTGACGTAGTTTGCGCGCGAGCTATTGGCTGGACGAGGTGGCAATGGTGGGGCGGTTATAGTTGGTGCTGTCGAAGTGGAAGGCAACGATTCTTCCACATTCACATAACTTCGAACATGCCGCCTCTGAAACATTTTTGTTCAATTTAAAATTTATGAAGTGAGTAACACCGTTGAGTTTGAGCGGCCTCCTCTGTTTTGTGGCCTTGGTGGAAGTGGAGGCGGAGCAATAGGAAGATCGCTGACGGATGGAACTGCAGGAGTCTGCGGAACAATGGTCACTTTAACTTCATTCTGCGAATAAATTAAATGTGAACATGAATTTAGGCTAGTACAGCGCAGCGACTACACCACAATAGCTAAAAGCTACACAAACTGTACGACGACAAAAAGGTAGAAGTCCACATCGATAATTTGCAACAACAGTTAAGAAAATTAATCATAAAAATTTTGTCATTGATATCTGGGATGTATAAAGTACTCGGAAGAAGGAAAAAACACTAATCCTTTGAAGATATTAACAAAACGGAAAATACAATCTTACTGTCTCGGCATCGTATCCAAAGTCCATTTCAACAAATTCTTCCTCATCATTATTGTCTCTCACGTTTCGCCTACGATGAGCAGGAACTCGATCGATGACAATTGCATTGGTGCCTTTGATTTCATATCGGCAGAATGGACAAGTAGCACCACCTCCTTCAGTATCCTTCAATGCAGCGAATCATATTGGAACTTTCGAATAACGTGCTTACTTGCCAACGAACTAAGCACTGATGACAAAGTAAATGTCCGCAAGGCTCAATCCGAGTATTTTTATGCTGGTCGTCGCATATTTTGCACATTTCAAAAGTGGTTCCCATTTCAGTATACAAATCGTTTTGATCGTCATGAACAATAACTCTCTCTGCTTGTGCAGCCTCCATCAATTTATCAAGAGAAATGTCGTGATCACGTCCATTTGGATATTTATAGCTAAAAATCGATTATTTTTTTTGTTCTCGTCCATACACTCACAATCCCTCATTGCTTCCTTCGAAGAGCGCTTGAATAAGGCTCTTGTTCTGTGGAATTGTTTGATAAATTCTTCCATCTGGTGCAACATATCCGATGGCCCATTGTCCGGGCCTCGTGCAGGATAAACGAAAAATGTAGCTGAAAATACCACGTTCAGAAATGAATACAAACAACAAGAATACCTTCCGGGTTTCGAAACAAGAGACTCCAAGCGGGTTCTCACTTCGTCGTATGTCATAAAGGCACAATATGCTGGGTGACCGGTAGTAAGTGTTTGCCAGTTGTTGATCACTGTTTTGAATGGGTAAAAAAGCCTAAGACAGAAACAATTTTAAGAAATATTCTAAGAATTATAAATTAAACCTAGTGAATACGTCAAACTCGAATGTAGAAATGAATCCATCATCGGACAGGTCAAGTGTTTTCTTCAGTTCAATCGCCTGAACTTTTGAAATCGGTCCTCCATGATGTTGCTCCAACGCTTTCAAGAATGTTGGCCACGGAACAATGTGTTTGCTGAAATAAATCACACTTCAAATACAAGCTGTCTTCGAAATGGGTTCACCTTTTCCCAAATTTAGAATTCCAAAAATCTTCAGCGGCCTTTTTGGTGATTCGGAATTTGTCTCCTTAATAGATCAGCTTAGGAACGACCCGATAATGAAAATTATTACCGACAAATACGCCATTTGGAAATTCTGCTCTCAACTCAAAGAGCATATGCGATAATATTAATGAATATTTTGTCAATGCCCGTCGATATTCCGATTTCTCATCGTAAATTGAGGTATTACGAAACAATTTCGATACCTAAAATCAGTCATCACCAAAACTGTGATTCTGTACTTTTCGTTTGAACAACTTATTAAATGAGTTAAATTGTTAGTTTTGATCGAATCATATTGAAAAAATTCCTACTTACTTCTTTGCATTTGGAGACTAAATTGTTCATAAATATCCGAAGAAGCTCGTTGTCTCGAAGCATATTATTGTGATTTGTAAATATCAGCATGAGCTAAAGCAATTGAGAAATTCGATATTTAGGTAATTCTAGATTTTTCTTACATGTGCATAAGTGTCGGGAAGAATATCGAGGATGAACGGCGGTGAGCTTTTGAGATTTAGCTTCTGAGATTGGCAGAGCTTGACGACTTCGTCCATTGTTTTGCATACTTTGAGCAGGAATCGGCGGTCCTAAAATGAAAAGTCAGTATTAAACGATTCTATTAAGATTTTCACGGTTTAAGTATGGTGAAGATAGGAAGATAGACTTGTTCGTGATATAATTCATGAAGGACTGTTATGTACACGAAAAGAAGTTTTAAAACATGAGCTATTGTTTTTTTTCCCCCGACAATGTTGCCTTCTTGTTATTAATGAATGTTCAACATGCAATCGGTGACTTTATAAGGGTTACATTCCAGGCACGCACTGTATGTGAACAATATTGAAAATGACAGTGCAGTGGTTCAAAATACCTCTTCGCTGAAAGACTCGGGCATTTCACCAGTAGGAGGACAATGGAACGGCTAGAAATTAAATGAGAAAATTTGGATCGATAATATCGAAATATGTACGCACGAATTTAAAATAATAAATTACGATTTTTTTGCATATATATTATCAGTTAACTAAAAATTTGCTCGATGCTCTCTACGTAAAATTACATCTTACCCCAATTGATGAGGGAATTGAAGAAGTTGTCAGTGTGACGGGTGGTGCATTATGCCTGTTCATGTAACGCCCACGTAGCTAAAGAATATTGCAATTTATATTGGTTGCATCGTAAACCACTTACCCCACTGGCTCCAGTAATATCGACTACATGACGATTGCGATTTTGTCGAAACAGTTTTTGAATTCGACCAAAAAAGCTATTGATTGATCCCATTACTACGACGAATATTTGAAGTGGAACAGGTCGTTGTCGATTCATGCGAGGTTCTTCATCACTGAAACATTGCAACAATAATTTGAGGCAATAAATGAGAATCAAAATATTTACGAGATTGAGTATCTGATATATCAAATTAGATCTCAATTCTATGATAAAATTTACAGCTCGAGAATTAAAATGAGAAAACAAAATGTAGCGGTTGAAAAGAAAGAGATGTATTATTATTTTTTTTTAAGTAACGCCAATAAATTTTTGAACGTAAAAAATATATGTAGGATTCCAATTTCCTGACAAGTGTCAGCCATGACCGACGAACAATGCCAATGACTCACTTAGCGGAAATAATCAAGAGAAAAAATCAAACAAGATCGACAGGTTCACTGTCGGCAAAGAATGATTCGCCTTATCGTTGTTCGAACAACACATCATGAATTGATAATAAATGGGCGTTCTAGCTCCGGACCCGTCGTTTGTTCGCGCACGTCTCATTTGGTGAATGATCGCTCAAACAATTCACGCTTCGAGAGGTATTCGATAGCAGATTGCCAGCATCTGCTTTTATATATTTTATTTAAAAAAAACGTTTAAAGATAGCAATAACAAACTATGAGCAGACTGCATTGCTTAAAAAACTGCGATAATCCCCTATGGAAAACCTATGAAGGATGAGATTTCATCAAACTATTACGATTGAAACGAAAATGTTTTTCGTATAAATATAATGTTAATAAATAAAAGTGAAATTAAATCTACACAATTAGAGTCATCATTCTGAGGTATTTTATAGGGTTATTTATACTAATACATAATGTGATAAACTTAGGATGGTATTTTTTTGAGTTGGCCAATTTTATGTGAGCATATGTCAATTTAGGTTCATTAATAGACACGTACGAAAAATAGAAATAAAATACCATTCAAACAAACGATAAATGGTTGAGACAAGGCTAATGATTGGGATGAATTGAGCAATGACGTTTGTATTGTATTACCATGAATGGGGAAATTGATATTAGAATTTAGAGAAATCATTTTATTCACATGGTTACATTAATAATTAAAAAATGAACTGCTCGTTGTACTATTGGAAAATATCATTCAAGCAAAGAATAAACACAAGCCACGATATTCTGCGGTGTAGTCTTAAATCGTTTTCATACCTTTCCGTTCTGCTGATGCCGTTGTTGTGATTTTTAACAGATTGACGTTGAGTAATAATACGTTGAGCGAACTTTAGCATTTTTTCTGGCATTAATTGAATAGTAATTTTTCATTTATGAAATAGTAATTTTAAAAGGACCTCGAAAATCATTCATTACTGTTTCATCATCATGTTCGTAAGCCGAATGATATCGACGAATGCATAGCAATAACAAGAAGATACACCCAAATTATAAAAAAATCCTAATTTTATCAGTGTTTTCAAGAACGCATAATTTTTTTCAAATAAAGTGTGATATATTTTATAATAAAATTCATTCCGAGAAACCTTATTTGAAGATTAGTTTGATTAAGAAAATATACATCCAATTTTCTCATTATTTTAAATCAAATGTAATGAATCGAATATTAATAGGACAGAAAAACAATTTAATTGGAGGCTATTGCTACATTATCAGGGACGACATTTTGTTTATCATCGCATATAGCGTTTGGTCGATATGTACCATAAAGATCGGAAATGTGGAATGAAATTGGCATGTTTTGATAGTTTTTAATCATCATGTTTCCATGTTTATTATAGAAGGTTCTGAAGGGTTATTCGGTTATGTTTTACTATGACAACAACAAATAATATGGGCACTTTTAAAGAAAAGAGGGGATTGTAATTTACGAGGAAATAAGTAAAAAAAAGTAAAACATAAGTAAAACATTGGAAGTAAAACATAAGTTACATTATACTGAACACCAGCCCACACAAACACTCAATACATTATTACACTTCATAAGACTCAGTATAACGACTTTGCTATTTTTAATAAAAAGAAATGAGCGGTAGGCGGCACATATGCTCGCGGTGCTCCATTTTTCATTTTAATGGGAAGCAATTAACTATTGGAACCAATCAATTCACGCATAAGCGATTTTGTGATCTATCTTGCTGACTATCGCTCGTATAATTTTTCTATACATTGAAACTAATCATACGCGCGCTTAATAGCACGCTTGGCAGTCGACATTATTCGATTGCGCCGAAGCGCGTCACGACCACGAACCACAAAAAAACAACATCATTGAACACCTGCGAAGAAGCCATCTGGATGACATGATAGAAAATATAAGAGATGATTCATAGCGCTACATGCTGCGATATATGTCGACGTCGCGAGACTTTCAAAATTGTCTAAAAGCCAAACTAAAGTGACACGGGGTCTCGGTGCAAAACTAAAAGTGTAGATTTACGGGCTCCGCATATCGTTAGGTTAAAGGCCACTTCCTACTTTTTGTCATTTAGCCTAATGTAAAATTGATCTGTTGTTGAATGGCTATATTAAAATAACAATTGTTGATGAATTTGTACACTTAGTCACGAATCTGGTGTGACCATCTGTCCCGGAATTTTCTATGTCAGAAAGAATCAGTATCACTCACTTCCACCAAATAGAATTATTAGTCATTGGCGTCGAAGTATTAGAATTTAATGAAACAACAGCAAATTTAGACCCTATCTCCCTACCCAAACCAAATCTTGTCGCCCTCAACTATCAACTGTACAAGCTCGGCTATGACTGTTCGGTCGCAGACAAAATCAACTTTATCCGAGACGGCCATAAATATAATTTATAAATTTAAAAAATTTCACGTGATAGCAAATCTGTTAAATTTGACAACACTTTGAATTTTTATTTAAAATTTATATAAGCAATAATATTTGAACATTTAGTAAGTTTATTTTTTATGATTATTATTTATAGGGTAAAAAATAACATTATATGGCTACATGAAACAAGAAATAAATACGAGTTTTTGGGAGTCTTGTCTAATATTGTATATATATATATATACAGAGAAGCAACATTTTCAAAACTAAAATTTCGATTATACTAAATTTAAAAAAAGTTTGTCCAAGGTTTACAATATAGGAAATAAAATATTCATAATCTTATTTAAAAAAAAAACAAATGTTTATATGAAACACCGTTTTGAAACAAGCTCAATTTGTTGGTTGTATAAATTTTTTTCGGCAGCGTTTCCGAAAAACTTTCACAGAAAAGTGTTGGTTTTCGATCATCCAAAGCTATGATTCATTCAATTCTTTTCTCCTCATTCCGTCGGAAAATGCTCAATTTTTCGAACGGAAGGAAAACGATCCATTTAATTTTCGAGAGAAAGAAGAGGCTTGCCCATTTTTGTGCTAGCAAGCATTTGAAATGCAAGTTAAGTCTTGACAAGAGCCCGTTTGCAAATATTGATTCAGGAAATATTCTGCACTGGACATACATACGTTTTTGCAATTCAATGAGCCAGAAAGCAGAAAAAAACGAATGTTGGATAATTATGACATTGTTTCCAAACAACTAGCATCCAATAGTTAACATGATTGATTTGTGTACTTTTTGCGATATCAATCACCATCTGATATTTGGCAATAGATTAATGTTGTGGGATGACTAACAATGAGTCATTGAGAATTTCCCGAAACTAGGAAAATAAAATGTTTCGAAATAAAAAAACGATAGTTGACTGAGTAACAGTGCTTAGCTATTGATCAATACGAACTCAATGTATTAAAAATTTCTTTTTCACTTTTACAAATGCAGGAACTAGTGTTCTAATTTTCCGAAATCGCAATAGGATATCTTTTGACCTAGTCATGTCAAAGACATCAAAAGAGAAATGTTGTCTCATTTTTCTATAAAGAGCTACCAAATAAACCAAAGACGGATTTATTTTGAAAAAAAAAAACTGATTGTTGCCACGTATGAAAAAAAAAATGCAAAAAATTGAAAAAAAAGCACAGAGGTGATCGTCATGAAAAAAAAAATTTTTTCATACGCTCGAATTAAAAAATCAAATGGAGACCAGTGGATTTTCGGGTGGCCGATGAATGGACGACCATAGGAACCTATGCGAAAACGGCCCCGGGTAATTAAGAGCACATTCGAATAAGAGACTCAGAGAAATGAAGGCAAAATGGCATGCGTAGTGCGTTGAACGAACGTGTCGTTGAGTTAGTTGTGCGCAGAAAATAACGTTGGATTCATTGAGACGCCGGCACCGGCAATGCAGTTTGACGGTTTGCGAAAAACCACAACTAATCTATGAGACGCAGACAAATCAATCGATAGTGTCGACATAAATATCACGGTTGCGCTCATTCCAACACTCTGTGCTCATTTTATTAACACATGACTTTTGAAACAGACGTAAAACTACGGTTGCCGCGCTGCAACGAAATATGAGCTGTAAGCGTGTTTCGATCTCGTACAACACTATTTGTTCACCAACTACTTTCAGCTATTATTTTGATATATTTTTTAATCAATGGTAGGAACGATAGAAAAAATCGCGCGGGTTAACACCTATAATGAATTATGAGCAATAGTGAAAATTTCTGTAAAACGGTCACTGAACATCCTAGCCATAAATAAAATGGGCATTGAAATGCCTTTTTCATATAGTCTAAAAATTAGAGCATAAAAATAATTTGTTTGCGTAATCAATGGTTTTCAACATCTTTCATCTTTATCTGATGTTTTTTACAATTTTTTTTTGAAAATCTGCCTGTTTCAATGATTAATAATTATAGGAGAAAACCGTTTTTTGGTAGTTTTTGCTTCTTGAATTTTGAGTATAGCGTTAAAGCATACAAACAAACGAATTTGAGCTTAACTACAAGTGCATCATTTGCCAAACATGGTGTGTCAATAGAATTAATTTATGTCGGTGTTAGTGGTCTGCATTGTGGTAAACTGGACAGATTGCTTTGTTTGTTTTGTTTATTTTTGTTCCCGCGAAAGCATAGAATAACTCAATTTACAGATTCTCGTTTGTGTGTGATCGTTTGCCGTTCCATGTCACCACTGAGCGCTTTTCTAATATATGCAATTAACAAATCTCAATAATGCCTTTAAAAAAACATGATCATAACTCAATTAATTCCGAGAAACAAATAAAGAAACGAAGAGACAAAACCAGCGTTAATTTGATGATCGCAGACGACAACAAGAATAATGCGGCTAAATATACAAGTTAGAGAAGAAGCAATCAAGGAGATGGATTTGAAATACTATTAGGAAAATTGGGGAATCGATTTGAAAAATAAATGTCTTTTAATTACATCCTATTATTATTTTTTAACGGAATAGGATTGCAATTTATGTTTTTAGGTTCTTTTTCATTAATTGGGAAAAAACGTCCAACTTATTGCGGAAAAATGCTGAATTGTGAGCGAGTTTAAGATTAAAATGAAGTGTACAGAAACTGAAACATTTATCAATTCTAACACTAGTAATCTCGTATGATTATATTTAGATGATAAATGCAATGAAATACATTAAATTAAATGTTCTATAATCTTACACTACGTTGTTGAGAAACGTCGAAGATTTAGTATCGTGATAATGTCTTTGTGAATTTATTATTTAAAGCTGTGAAAAAAATTATCCCATTAATTAGTATACACCGATGCGTAACTCAGCTCGTAAAAATATTGAAAACATATGGAAAAGAATTCTAAAAGCAGGAATCAATATGCGATATTATATTTTACAATTGTTTTTGATCAAACGATTGCATCTCGTAAATGTAGAATCTTACACATCAAATTTTGACGTCTGAACGCCCATTTATCAGAACAAAGCTGCTTGAGATTTGTACTTTGAATAGATTTTTGGCAAATTTTTATTGATTGAATACCTTGATTTTGGCTGAAAGTTTCAGTTAATGTTGTTATTTGTTTTTATAAGTCTAAAAACGAATTGTTTAATATGTTCTACTAATGGAAGTTACTGGTTTTTCCAAATCAATGAATTGAAAATAAATGGCGGAAAAAGAAATTATTTTTTTTAGAAAACTTTAAACATGATGTCGCCTAGAGTATATATACAAACTATGCAAAAAAACGAAATTGTATAAAAAATATCAAACCACAAATAATGTTAAGCGCTCGATTTTACGTATCTTGTTTCCTTACAGTTAACGTGGCGCTAGTTAGATACAATCTAGTTTGAAACGAAACCCTACTGACTATAAAATAATTTTTATATTTTTAAATAGTTATGTGTTGAAAATTTTATTGTCAAAAAACCTATCAGGGAATATCAATTTCGCAAAATCAGTATAGGTTTACGAAGAAAAACAAAATATGCACGTCTCTTCGCCTCGAGACATCCCTGCACATTGCACATTTTTTGAGTTTCGTTCAATCATTGACGCCGACAATATGGAAATTGAACGCCTTTTTTTTGATTTTTGCTAGACTTACATTTAATTTTATTTTATTAAAGGTTAACTTTAAGCAAGGGCGTGTTTTTCAAACTTTTGAAAAAATAAAAGATCATTCTACCAATATTTTACTGTCGGTCGAGGCGGTAATTCAAAACAGAATCCGAATGCCGACCGAAATGTTGGATCAGCTTCGAAATTGACAAGCTTGCTTTCACTTATTCGAATCCGTATAATAATTTGTGAGACAATTGAATTTAATAACGCAACCGTTACGAACAAATGAATCTTTTTTCGATAATTGCATCGTTTTGAAGAAGATTGATTATACAAATTCAGTTATTATCGCGCGTAACAAAATCTCATAAAATTTTTATAAATTATCATATATCGTTGAATTCGTTTCCGTTAAATCCTCAAGGGTTGGTAATAAAGAATAAATTAAACAAAACTTTGTTGGATTTTTTTTTTTAATTTCCGACTGTTGCCTGTTTTCATTAATGGTCGTTCTTTGAAATATTAATGGAATAAGATTTTTGAACTCTCGAAAAAATGTTTTATTAGGATATATAATAAATTTTCGATAAATAAAGTTAACATGATCAAATAAGAATGGGACTAGAAATAAAAAAAATTAAAAACGAGAAATGACACATTGTATCAAAAGTTGTTCATAGTGATTTGAAATCTTGCAATGATTGACTCAAACAAATGCCTTGCAGACTATTATAATTGTAAATTGGAGAACCCTTTAAATCAACGTAGTATTTTGTTTTAAATTTTCGGTCTACCCTATTCTAACCAAAGACACATAAGACAACTTTTAAAATGAAATGATAACAGTTTTGAATACTTATACAAGCGATTCATATATTCCATGGTCATCAAACAGCGCTGATGTTTGTATTGTTGTTCGTATATGCCATATTCTGAAAGAAATTATTGTCAGCCACTTTTTCTTTGTTATATTCAATTTTGTTGACAATCTACAATCTTTGGCGGAAAAAATGGACACTTGAAACGCAAAGCTGAAAGAAACCAAAAGAAAATTTTAAATCAGTGTTTTGAACTCAAGAAACGATTTGTGAACAACTGAAAGTTGGAAGTAATTTAAGCACGACAGTAAGAAAAAATGCACATACGGAGCTGAAAAGATGAGCACGCTTCACTTCACGCGAAAAAAAGGGAAAAATTTAGCAAAATGTTCAACAATACCAATAATGTTTATTTGATTGCTGCAGGCATTTCTAGTTGGAAATCTTCGCGGACTTACCTGTTCAGAAAATACTAAACGTAAAGAATTTCCTGGAATATGGAAGCATCAGTATGTTAGAACTACGAGCCGACTTCCTCTCTTCTTCACTTTTTGTTGCACAAGAAAAGAATAGAAGAAAATGAACCAATAAACGTGGTTACGTGAATTTCAAAAAACATAAGGAAAGTGTGAAAAAAGTGAATGTGCATGGAAAATGTGATTTGTGCATTTTGATCAGAAATCGTGACTTATTTTCGTGGAAGAAATTTTTCACATTCCATTGACTCTGGCACCTTTTTTGTTTCATACCCATTTTTTATCATTAATTATCTCAACGTTTAATAGCACAAATTCTCAACCCATAAAGTGCCAGTTCACCGTATGTGATTGATAATAGTCAAGATGATAAGAGCATACACTTGGTTATGCCAATAAATAACAGTTGGCAGTGGAAAAGGGATTTCTAAGTGAATCTATCTAACAGAAATACAGTCCCATTTAGAAGTCGACTCGGAAAAAATCAAACCTTGATAACAAGTTGTGGCCTTACGTGTTCATCAGTGGTCGTATGCGATTGGGATGACAACGACCCCAGTTGCTCAACTAGTGACTTTGTTGCATCATCCTTTGTCATTTTCTAAAAACGCCTTGATTAGGAATAAAAAACACGACGTTTAATACCGTTTCAAGCTTGTTGCTGGTATTTCCTTTACCAAAAAGCGTATGTTTCCGTTTGTTTTGATGTGTACTTATTGCGTGATGTCTACAAAGAAGGTAGTGAAGTTCCCGTCGTAGTTGCGTGTTGAATAGGAGGTAAACAGTTGGATTGACCTTGAACATATAAATAAATTAGTGCTCATAAAATATGAAAATTATAATTTGGAATAAAACACCTACAGAGTTGTTAATGAAAAATAAAGAAGTCATCACGAAATACGCCCATTTGCTTTCTGACATATAAGGAAGCCATTGCCAAGTGGTCCATGTCAAAAGGAATACTAACGACACCACGAAAAACTAGAAAATGACTATTATTTGTTTATGCAAGGATTTTGATTTTCACCTGAATGAACAGTCTCATTTCCTTTTTGCTCACTTGACTGCGCGGAGGCCTGACATACGACGTTCGGCCACAACCATTCATCTGACATGATAATGATACCCCATTCATCAATGCGTTTTGTTGCTACAAATTAATATCTAGATTATAATAGGTCTTCTAAAATTACTCTTGTTCGAATTGTCAATTGATACTTTGCCATGGCTCGTCCACTCTCTCGCACTTTATAAATGATGACAGCGTAAGAAATGATCATCATGCACAATGATAAACTATTCACCGCCATGTCAACATATTTATACCTGCATTGAATATTTGAACGTATTTTCGGAGATTTCTGCTTACAATGTTTCGGGTTTCTCATAGACCGTAATATAATAATTTGAATTCCACAATGTATGACAGCACTCGAACAAAGTCGGAAGAGAAACCAAAAATCCAATTAGATATCCAAGGAATATCAAGTAGAGCGACCTTGTTTTCGAAAAAATGTGTTTATATTCCATTGGATAAACAATTGAAACGAATCTGAAATGGATATCAGATAACATCATTACAATAATTGTTATTACCTATTCCCTGCCATTAACCCAAGTTGAACAACTCCGGTGTACCAGAATAAATCATAGAAGAAAATCATGATGATGTTTCGTTTTGATTTAAATTGGACGTATCTCTCATGGAAAGCAGTAGCAGGGACCAAATGACCCAAGGATACAATAGTCATTAGAATATCACACATCGCTATTGAAATGATAAACCAATAACTGAAGAAACTCAGAAGTATTTTTGCAATGTGCCGAAATCACAAACCTAGTAGCACTTCTCATAGTTGAGCTTCTCACGATTCCCGCCAATATTAAAAGATTTGAAACCAATGCATAAAGAAGCATTATTGTCCATATTGACACCGCTATGAGATCGTCCCTTCGATTAACCGAAGAACTGAAAAACACATATGATTTTCTACTTGAAACTGATTGATATGGTGTTAAATTAATTATTTGATCTAACCCTTTTAATAAATAATAATAAAAATTACAATAATGCTCCCACTGTATAATATGTGGCATTTGTCTTCCAGGATTCGTCGGTCTTCATCGAGAACATAAAAACGATATGTTGGCACGGCGATTTTTTTAACAGGTACCCAAAAACAATATGCTATGAATATATCTAGATGAATGAAAGATGAATATAAGCAACAGCAAGTCAGTGAACGAAAGCGGAAATAGGAAGTTGGTGAAACCATGCGAAGGCGAGTAAAATCTTGCGGATGCATAAAATATTAGAGAATGGGGAAACGATGCCCTCCTCTCCTCCCTCACCACCCCGAAAAACGAAGATTACTTCAAACATCATTCAAAATAGGTTTTGAAAAAAGATTTTTTGTTAGTGATTATTCAAAAGTTTACTCAAGTTTGAATAAATACTATCGTTTTATAAAATAGAATATCCATATATGAATTCATGAATTCCTTAAAAAATTGAAAAGGATTTATGTGAAGCTCTCGAGCACACATCAACTTCTATTTCAATCCTTCAAATCCCTAACGAATGTGTTCGTAACAAAATTGCCCACAATTTCCGGAGACTTCAAAAAATGCGGTTTGTGAACCATTGATATGTTGCGCATTCTATTTACAGAAAACAAAGGAAATCCTGTGTATGAAATCGGAAATTTAAGTATTGACTGATGCGAATACTAAAACAGAAGCCAATAGGATTTTCTGCTGTAAAACCTCATAAAAGCGAATGAAGAATGAGCGAGATTACGAGTTTTGACCAGAAAAAAATACTTCTCAAAAGAATATCTTCTCCAACAATAATGAAGTGAATCAAGATTTGATTGAACTGAGGGATTTTTTGAAATTCATTCAAATGCAATATTGTTTGCCGTTTTGAAACTTTCCTCAGGGATTTTGCTTTTTGGAAATATAACAAGGGCGAAACATGCAAATGTTCTATTTTGCATTCACTGATTTTTTGGCCATTTTTTGAAACCTGGGAAGTTAAAAAAAGAAAATCGTTAAAGGTAAAATTTAAGATATTAGAAAGGAATACAATTCGGTACATCTTTTTTTATTTTTGTGCACATCAATTAAATATAAATATACTTGAATTCAACGAAAAATCGTTCGATATATTATCAATAATACTTCTTAAGCATAATTATTAGGAAGTAAACAAAATAATTATTTTTGATTCAATTATAATCAAAATAATAATTGATCAATTCATTTCACACTTCAAACATCAAAAAATACAAATAAAGTTTGTACGAATCGTCTTTGATTCGAATTTGAAATGAAGTAAGATTAACTTCACGGAGGTTTTGTGTACTAACTAGAAACAAAATTCGGTTCCATGCTTTACCCATTGGACATTTAGATAACAAGATTCCGATGTAATTGAAATTGCGATTGTAGCAATGGACTGAAAATGGTTTCAAAGTGACATCCTTTAAAAATCAAATATGTTTCAATGTGATGAAAAGAGCAGGACAAAAGAGGTCAGTTTAATGAATAATGAACAAGTGGAAAAAATCAACGATGAGAAAATTACTCTGACTAACATACTCCTTGCAATTTGCAAGGCACTATTAAAATGAATTAGATTGTTGATTTGAAGCAAATATCTTTGAGCACCAAATACTGTGCCCCATATAACACGTGTTGATTTTCCTTCGATATATACACCTTCACGCACTGATGTACAGCGAATGTGATTTGTTATGTTTTTTTTTTATTGAATTTGCAAAAAAGGCTTGCTAATAATTTTAAAAATTTCGTTTTTAATTGAAAATAAATAAAGACTATAAAAGGTATGAACTTCCAGACAAAACCTTGAATATTCAAAGGTCAAAGAATCTAAGCGAAAGTTGACTGACAATTAAGTTCATCGAAAGCACTTATGCTCCAATCAAAATGAGCATTCATGCGTTCAGAGAAATATTGAAAAAAAGCGAAAAAAAAAATTCGGCGTCTCCTGTAAATCTTACTCATTTTTCTTTCTTGTGAAACGTAATAAATCTTAAGGGGTTAAATGAAAAGGGCTTATTTCTTGGTTGTTTTTTGGCCGACTTTAGAAATATGAAGCGCTTTTCATTCAGCATGTTAATCGACTTGCCACGATCTGAAATATGTTGGTGATTTATTTGTTCTTTTCTAGATTAATTTGAATATCAAGCAAGTATTTTTTTCAGATTAGATGATTGCTTAGAGGGGAAGTTATATTCTTCAAAAACAAAAAAAAATCAAATAAAATCCAGTAGATACTTTTAGGAAAGTATTTTCATTATAATTTTGTGTCCATTAGTACTATTAAAATTTTTATCCTTAAAGGCAACCTACAAAAAAATTGTGATTCTTCAAAATAATAAAACATTTCGAATTTTCGGTTTAGGACTTGGTGGAAAAATTTCTACTATAGTGTTTCAACCGTTTCATGAAAAATAACATATAACTCATTTCTTTTTGCTTAGTCTTCTTATACTTACTGCATTTTAAAGAGAAAAGCTCTGTTAGCTCACATTTGGTAGACCGAGTAATTATTGTGGTGTTTCTCATTTAAATAATGGTGACAATCGCGTATTCGAAGATAAGACAATTTTAAATAATTTTTCCTATCAACAATGGAAAATTGCAAAAAGTTTATAAGTGAAAAATCTGAGGGTCGCATATCATTTAAATGTGCTTGAAAATCGAACGTTTTCAACTGGGAGACTAGAAAACGGCATACATAAAAAATACGCACATTTAGTTTTTGAATGGCTCGGAATTCAAAAACGCACTTGTCTCGCCATCAATTCTAGCTGTCTTCTCGCACAATTCAAGAAGAGGCGTATCTGTGTGACACGCACTGTTGAAATAATAACATTTTCATATTTTTAAAAAATGAATCGGTTCAGATTAGTCGGTAATAAGTAAGAATTTTGAAAAAAAAATAATTGGGAATAAGGAAAGATACATTTTGAGTAAGAGCATTCTTCGCAGTTTGCACTATTTGTTAATTAGTCTCAAGTTACAAATGCGTAATTGAACATTTCTTGTTGCAACCAGGTACGTTTGATAGCAAAGAACAATCAGAAGAGCTTCTATTGAGGACCTAATAAAAGGCGAATTTTAGAATAGAAATGGTTCGAAATTAAAATTTTAGACGATTCTTCAGCTTTATTAAAAGTTCAAGTAGCACACAGAATATTTCTGCTTTGTGTAATGCTAATCTCGAAGATGGAAAAGATGTACGGATAGCATAAAAAATGGAAATTTAACGACTCTCATTTATCATCTCCGTAGCAATATTCATGAAATATGTTGATTTATGGACACGATTCTCATTGAAAGATTAAAAATATATTTTTCTAAAGCTTTCAGACATCTTATTCTTCATTTTCTCGCGGAAAAAAACAAAAAGACAATGAACAAAATCATTTTTTTAAATGTGATATTGGCTCCGAGTCTATTAGTGGTTCACTAAAAGGATAATTTATTCTGTTCTATCGCTTGCAATGAGATTCATCTAAATGATTGCAAGCTCTAAAGAAAAATTAATTTCTTGTTATACTATAAACATTAGTGGAATGAAAAGAAAATGCGCATAAATATTCCTTGAATTAATAATAGAGCTGACAGGTGAAATATCTATTTTATTCGAATTCGAATTTTTTTGAGTTTTGTGATTAGTAATGTTGAATATAATGCTCATTATTAGATGTCTCGTTGTTATATAATTTAAATTATGATGCCTACAGTTTGATAAAAATTGCGCAAATTAGAGCAAGCAAAAAAAACTGAAAGGATATGCTGACGAAAATTGAAAGAGACGACGTCTTATAACTAATTTTTTCCGTTACGTATAAGTTTAACATGGAAAATGGCATGAGCGCCTTTTTTGGAAATTTAAACAAAGAATGAGTAGGATTAAAAAAGCAGCCACGACAACAATGACAACTATAATCGTAATGAAATTTGTTTACGAGCTTCACTACTTCTAACTTCTTTTTTAAACAAAATTATTTGCGTAAAGTAAATCTTAGATGAAATATTTCGTTATTCTATAGTTATTTATTTATTATTTTGTTCGTGGCTGCGTTCCTATACGATTTTTGTACTCAATTCTAACAAATAGGGACGTAATAACTCGTAACTCGATGACAAGCACATTGTTTTTAAATATTCTTTGTTTTGTGTTTAGAAAAATACGCAATACCTACACCATAACGTCACTTTGATGCACCAATAAAAGTTGTGGGCGTTGATTGTAAAAGGACGAATTAATTGCCATCAACCTACGTGCAGATAATTTTCCAAGGCTTTGCCTAATGAATTCCATTCGAAATTAGTGTGCGGGTTTACTGGATTAGTACGCGGTTTTGTTTTGCTTCTCTCATTCGTTCATTCAGGTTTTTTCCTAACTCTTCGTGGTTACGATATGAATCAAGTAGTCAAAGCTCAAAATTCAAATAAGTATGAATATTGATGTGAAAAAATAGTAAAAAAAACGGAAGTAATTTTTGCCAGTGGATCGAGTGGGTTTGAAATCAAGTTAGTCGAGTCCCCTTATGAAGTGAGATTCTGTCCGTTTGATATTGCATGTGTATTTTTAGCTTTTTTCTAAATTTTCTCGGTTCCAATTCAAAAGTCAACAGTGAACTCAATTTTCCTCCAAGTATTTTTTTCAAACAACAATAAAAAGCAAACTGAAAGCAGTTGGTTATTTTTTTATAAAATTAAAAAAAATTCTCACAGATCACATGTGAATAATTTTGGAAGCAAAAATGAACTCATTTCTGCTTGTTCCACATTGAACTTTCGAGATCAAGTGCTTCGGACATCACGTATTAATACAAAAAATTCAATGGAAATTCAATTTTAAATATCAAGAAATTGCAAGAGGAGTTGAAAAAAACAAAATATGGAAAGTAGAAATCTCTTGAAAATGGGTGTCAGAAGAAGGAAAAAAATGCTCCACTTATTGAAGATGATGTGCTCCAGCTAATATCACTTGAAGTAAAGTCGGCGCAAAATTGAATCATAACCTTTCTTGCTTACAAAAAGTCGCTAACATTTATTTTGCATTAAAAAAAGATATTGCATATGAAAGGCTTT